GACTCTATGAATCCATGAATAACATCGGAAGAGGTTGGGAGTGGAGGTGGTGCATGCGACACTATGCAAGCAATTTGCAAAGGAAGACTCGAAGCAAAATTATGTATAATCAACTATTTCGAGTCGGTAAGCTTTCTTCATTTAATTTTGTTATTTGTTTTCATGTAATTTTGTCATGAATTTATCTAACACGTGTTGTGGTTTATTTTGTTAGCCGGAGAAAAACGGTTGGAGAAGTTTGATCGTCAAGTTGAGCAATTTAAGAAGGTGGCCGCTGATAGAAATATTTCATGTGATAACTGGGTGGATCAACATCAGATTCGTTGGAGTTTAGCACATGATAACTACAATGGTGGGGGTCGTTGGTCTATCCTGACATCCAACATGGCAGAAAGCGTCAATGGTGTTTTCAAAGGTATTCGTGCACTTCCGATAGCTTCTCTTGTGCAGCATACCTATTGGCGATTGGTGGAGAAATTCGATATGTATAGGTTGGAGACAGGAGCAGAAATTAGAAGTGGCGGTTCACATGAGGCTCAGAATGTGGCTGATGAGGCTCATGCTGTCTCATGCCAAACTGCCGGAGCACGCGGTCTGGATGATGCCACATCACCGATGAAAAGCAGATAAGTGGCACTACTGCTCGAAATGTCTCCGACTGTAGCACACTACCTCTGAGATGAAGTGCTCTCTCAAAGTAAGGTTGCCACTACATTAAATCCAAAAATTATCGTTATTATCCCTAAATCTAAAAAAATAAAACAAATGAAAACTATTATATAAAATGAAATGTTATATACTAACCACCACGGTGTCCATCGCGTCAAACCACAGCTTGTACTGGAATAGCTGGTCACCATACTGACGACTGTTGGCCGAAAGCCATCGAAGACCACGTGGGAATGCATCCTCGGTGGCCTGTGCCCTCGTCTCCTCGTCTCGAGGTGCCAGATGTGGGAATCGCTCCCACGCCCAAAACTGCAGTAGGGCGACCCATCCACCAAGGTCACCGCTAAGAGAAGTGCCGGTATGCGTAATGTGCAAAGTCGACCTACCCATCTCACGGTACAGGTAGGATAAAACAGCAGCTCCCCAGGCAAACCGTCCAGCTCTCTCCCAATCCTCAATCAGAAGTAGGTACTGTAGGTGCACCGTACTTCCAGACCGATCCGAGAAAAGTACACCTCCAAGCAGAGATAGAGCATAAGCTCGTGCAAACTGCTCTATAACCTCCTGTGATGCATTCTCCGGCAGATGACTGAATTCAACCCTCAGCCAAACAATCCTAACAACAGCGACACTGCCTACAAGATCGGCCGGAACTCGTCCCAACAGTCTCAAACACATCGCCGACCACTCCTCATCCGGTATATCAACTACGACGGCATCACCGTCGATCGCCAGACCGGACAGTGTAACAACGTCCTCTAACGTGATCGTCATCTCACCACACGGTAGATGGAAGGTCGACGTCTCGGGGCGCCACCGCTCTACGAGCGCAGTAATCAAACTAGCATCGGGGTTCATAGGGACTAGGGCCACGACACTAAACAAGCCTGCCGCTTCGAGATATGGCCGATAAAGCTCATGGTAAGGTACTAAAATGGTCGTACCTCGAACATGGTACGGTCGATCACCAGCCTATAGTGCACAAAACTTATATTAATTCATTTTCATTCGTAATAATTCTAATTTCACCTAATAAATTCTAATCTGTCTTATCTAACATAAAATTATACTAATTTCACCTAACAGTTCAGTTCAGTTCACTACCTAAAATAATCTAATTAGCTAATTAACTTTACATGAATAATTATCAAATACTTACCTCGTTTGTCCAAACAGAGTCGATACGATGTTGGCCGTGTCCCCAAAGAAGTGTCGGATCGACCGGACTTGGATCAATTGTCGTCGGCGGTAATCTCATCGAATAAGGATCCATAAGCCTCGGAACTGCAAAACCAAAGCAACAAAACATTAAAAAAAACACAAAACATTAAAAAAAAATCAAACTGCCGACGAGAGTCTCACCGCGCAAACGGCCGCCGGCTCCACCACGACCTCGCCGACCTCTACCTCTGCCTCTGCCGGCGGCGACTGGTTCTTCGTCGGAGGACATCTCGGGCGGCGGCGGTTCAGTCCAAGGCGGCGGCGCTCCTCTCTGCGGCGGCGGCGCTCCTCTCTGCGGCGGCGGCGCCCGAGTGTGCGGCAGCGCCCGAGTGTGCGGCGGCGGCGCCTGAGTCTGGGACGGTGCTGCGGGCGGCGGGCGGCGGTTCGGGGTTGGGGTGGAGGAAGAAGAAGGAGGGAGAGGGGTCTGCTGGTTCGGGGTTGTGGGGAGGAAGAAGAAGGGAGGATATGTGTGGTGGTGGGGAGGGGATAAGGTGGGAGGGTATCAGGTGGGAGGGGCCCGTCCAAAATTTAAAAAAAATTAGTCCGGGGCGCTCCCGCCTGAGTCTCGGGCGCCAGCGCCTCAGACTAATTAAAAAAATTTGTCTGAGGCGGGGCCGCTTGAGACTGGGGCGCCGGCGCCCAGGACTGGGTAAAAATTTAGTCCCGCCTGAGTCTCAGGTGGTCCCGCCCCAATCCTTACTAAAAACCACAATATCTCTGTAAATAGTTTTTAATTGGCCATATTCGTGGTAAATTAAAAAAAAAACTATATTTCTGTCATTTATCCCCATTTTCTGTTGGCCATGGTAATTGCCATGAATATTAGGGCATATAAATGTCAAACGATGATGTTCACTCGTGTATGGTTTGGGCAGATCCATGTTCTGGTGTAGCGTGTGTCTGGAAGAAAAAGAATGATGATCACCTTGATTTGATTAAGTGATATCAAATACTTTTGTAGTTTTGTACTATTTGATATGAGAACAAACTTATAATTTATATTACGAGAAAAGATTAAGAAAATTCAATTGTGTTTGAATTTGGAAGAATTCATGTTGATTTCTTGAAACAAATTTTGTCACCAAAATTTGTTCATGCTTGCAAGATGCAACAATTTGATTTATGTAACAAAATTGTTTGAGTTGTGATCTTGAAATAAATTGAAATTATGGTGAAAAGTGTTTCCCCGACATGATAATTTGTTTATCATGTATGTGATTTATGACTTCATGTTTTCTATGCCATGAGGGTAAGGAAAGTGAAGTTAAGATGAATTCTTATAGGGATTGAATAAACTTGCCAAAAAATGGTGATCATTAAAATAATTATCGCCAAATTGTTTATTGTATATGTACACTATACCATTGGAATTTTTTTTGACATATGACTATTTTGTGAAGCTATTGGTCAGAATTGTTTATGGTATATGTGGACATATACCATTGGAAAACAATTTGGCATAAGAGCTCAATTGAGATGCCTTATTGAACTTAAAGTCTGAATTACTAGACCATTGACTTAGAATATTCATTTGAATTCCTTGTGGTATGTCAAAGTTACCTTGATGAAAGTCATTGGTAAGTAATTAGATAGTATTTCCAATACAATCTGTAAATGCAACTGAATTACTTGTGACATCTCATATTGCCTTGACCAATACCATTGGCAAGTAATTAGATGATATTTCTAATAATATCTGATTTATTTGTGGTATGCTAATCCAATTAGTCCATATCATTGGTAAACAATTAGATCAATGTAATGGTTGAAAGTTCAATAAGTAAAACCATGGAAAATAAAATGGAATTATTCCATGATAGTTTGACAAGTGGTAGAATTGTGGGGGAGATGGTTTCGATTCTAGTTGGATTACAAGTGCCAGTGATAATAAATCTACAACGATTGGATTTTAACACTAGGTGATGGAGTTGTTTCTTGGACTTCGAAGAAACAAACGTGTGTTACACACTCCACTATGGAAGATGAATCCCTAGCCTTTGCGGCGGCCGGAAAAGAGGCAGAATGGCTAAGAAATATGTTGTTAGATATAAAGTTGTGGTCACAACCAATGTCCACCATTTTTGTCTTTTGTGATAGTGAGGCTATTTTGTCTAAAGCTTATAACAAGATTTACAATGATAAGTCTAGACATATAGCCTAAGACATGTTTACGTTAGTATTTGATACCTAATTGAATCATTTCTATAGTGTATGTAAGATCATGCAATATTTTGGCAGATTCTCTTACCAAGGGATTGCCAAGGGGCATGATCTGTGAGACATCCCAAGGGATGGGATTGAGATATTTTGTATAGTTAGAAGTAATGGGAACCCAATCTTTTCTTTAGATATTCACTAATTAAAAGGTTCAATGTGGTAATAACAAGTTACTCTAACTGAGGTACTAATTTTTTGTACAAGTAAACTAGTTCAAAGAAGGGTGAGTTATAGAACTCTTGATATGAGTTATAGAACCCTTAATGAATTCATTTGGAACGTCACCTATGTGAGCATTAAGAGAGGTGTCGCTCTAACAAAAGCAGATGTCAACTTTTGTGTATGCTCATAAAACAGGATCAGCACATGCCCATAATAGTGCTACCCTTGTTGGTGGTTGTGGTTTACAGAATAGACAAATACGTGTGTGGCATCTCCGGTTATAGCTTTGGACCGTGACTCCTAGGCTTAAGTCCGTCACTGATTCGCTATCAACTTTGAGTTGCTTACACTAGGTAAAGGTTCAAATCGAAAAGATACCTTTATGTATGATTTACTTGTTCGATACGATATTTTCAACTCTTGTTGACTAAGTGGGGGATTGTTAGAGTTAGTCAATAGAGTTGTAATGTCACATTTATGGGAGAAGAAAAGTATAAGAATTGAGTCTTTTGGCAGTTTAATTAATTAGTTAATTTTATATTAATTAATTAACATTTGAATATTGTGAAAAGAAGTGTCCTTCTAGAAAGGTAACTACCCTTTTCTGTGAAAGGATGTGTCCTTTCGGGAAAGGTAACTACCTTTTTCTGTGAAAGGATGTGTCTTTTTGGAAAGTAACTTCTAGTTTTCACAAGTATAAATAGATGACTGTCATAACTCTTTTTTAACACGACGAGAGAATTCTTCTTCTTCTTCTTCCTATTTCCTTCTCTAATTCATAAACACAGAAGTCTGCAAGATTGCTGCTTCCAGACTTTGAATTGAAGGGACTCCTGGAGGTGATTTGCTCAAGCCTACCAGCAATTTGTAGTGGGGGCAAATAACACTCTAAGGAGAGTGAATCATTCACGCCTTCAATCAATTCTTTCCTACCAGATCCTCACAATCGTGTCTCCCCTGCTCTACCTTCATTCTTATTTATAGCCTACAGATAGAACTCGGGAACTTGGTGTTAAAATATATTAGCTTAAGTACCAATGTGTAATTAGCCACAATTGTTTAATGTAATTAGAACTAGGGTTAATCTCCTATATAGGAGCCGGCCATACATCCCTGTACAATTAACGAGTATAGTGAAAACCTATTGAAGAGCACAGCCTCTTCCGTGGACTAGTCCTGGCAACAGGGATACCACGTTAAACTCCGTGTGTTCTTTACTTTCAGCTTGATTCTTTACATGGTATCAGAGCCTCCGTGCTAAAGGTTAGTTCGTTCTTCTTGGTGGATTCGGATCTGCAGCGTTTGAGTTTTCTTTCCCTTCCTTGTTACGATCGTCGTTGGCGCTTGGATTGGAAGTTTGTGCTGCTGTTAGGGTTCCGCCGTCAGGGTCTTCGCGCGCCAGTTGAGGTCTGTTGTTTGGTGTTGGTGTGCAAGTTTGGGTCGTCGTTATTGGGTTTCTTTCTGCGCTGGTTGGGTTTCGTTTGTGCAACGTGGTTATTATGGATTTCTCCAAAATGGAAGCAGTCACTACTAAGTTTGATGGTCGTAATTTTTCAATATGGGAGTTTCAATTCCGCAATTTTGTGGCGGGTAAGAGGCTTCTTCCAATTTTATTGGGTGAAGTTAAGGCTCCAATGGAGGGTACTGATGCGGCTGATGCGGTTGATTGGCATGCTGCCAATGCCCAGATTATTCATTGGTTGGTGGCTACGGTGGACATTCCGACGGCTCTCAGCCTTCGTCGATTTCGCACGGCGCATGAGATGTGGAGTTATATCTGCACTACCTATTCGCAAAATACAGCCTCCCATCAGTTTGAGATGGAAGGAGAGATCGCTCGTCTTGCTCAGGGCGATCGCGATGTTCGCGTCTATTATCAAGAGTGTCTTCATTTGTGGACGGAATACGACTTGCTGACTGTCCCTCTTGTTCCCGATGTTGCTGCTGTGGCAGTTCAGGCCGAGCGAGATCGCACTCGTGTTCTTCAATTCTTAGCGAAGCTTCGGCCTGAGTTCGAACCCATCCGAGCCTCATTGATTCATCGCAATACTACGAGTGTTGATTCTGTTGTTGCTGAGCTTATGCGGGAGGAGACCCGACTTCGTAGTCAATCCCAGATTGATCATGCCACTCCACATGCTGAACCCGCCTTTGCTGTAGGCCGCCCGGCTGCTGTCTCTCGTCCCTCCTCTGGTCGGCCGACTTCAGCTGCCTCTACTGGGACGGTGACGTGCTTCTTCTGCCAGGAGACAGGTCACGTTCAGACCTACTGCATTTTTTGTAAAAGTTCAGGCCATATTGTCTCTGAGTGCCCCACGTTACGACGGCGGGGGAAGTTGCGTCCTGTTCCCTCCTTTGGTAGCTCGACTTCCCGGGCTGTGGCATATCCGGTGACTGCTGAATCCTCGGCTTCTCTTACTCGTGATCAGGTCAACCAGATGGTTCAAGACGCTCTTCGTGATGCTCTCTCGTCTGCGTTCTCAACTGGTCTCCCATCTGGTAAGTCTCTTCGTTGGATGTTGGATTCTGCAGCTTTTAATCACATGACGCATCATCGTTCTGCATTTGGGACTTTACGTCCGATATCTCCTATGAGTCTTCAAGTAGCTAATGGGGCAACTCTCCCCGTTCAGGGTGCTGGTACTGCTAGTACTGGTTCAGTGTCTCTCCCTGACACTCTTTATGTTCCTCAGCTCGTTCCCAATCTGGTATCCGTTGGTAAGCTCACAGAGGATGGTTGTGATGTCGTGTTTGATTATGCTGGGTGTGTTGTGCAGGATCGGGAGACGGGGAGGGTGCTCGGGACAGGAAGTAAGGTGGGCCGTTCATTTATCCTTGATGATCTACGTGGGCGTGCATGCATGGAACCACAGGGTGCATGGGATGGTGGTGGCACGTCGCCTACATTGGGTCACCAAGGGAAGTCTGGGCCGCAGCAAGCTTGTGATGGGTCCAAGGAGACTTGTGATGAGATTTTATCTAAGGAGAATGACTTTGATGCTCCTGTTTTTAGTTCGAATATTTCTGTTGATTCATTATGGGATTTATGGCACAATAGGTTGGGTCACCCTCATGATGGGAGATTAAAGACTATGTTTAGCAATAATTTGTTGCCGGATAAATTGGATTTGGTGAAGTATGCTGGGGATTTTTCGGATTGTGTGAGCTGTTTGGAGGCAAAAGCTTCTCAATCTTCTTTCTCATCTAGCGACACTGTCTATGATGAACCGTTCGATTTGGTGCATTCTGATCTTTGGGGCCCCTCTCCCGTGCCGGATAAATTGGATTTGGTGAAGTATGCTGGGGATTTTTCGGATTGTGTGAGCTGTTTGGAGGCAAAAGCTTCTCAATCTTCTTTCTCATCTAGCGACACTGTCTATGATGAACCGTTCGATTCGGTGCATTCTGATCTTTGGGGCCCCTCTCCCGTCACTTCGCGATTAGGATACCGGTATTTTGCTTTGTTTATTGACCATACAACTCGATTTACTTGGGTTTACTTCCTAAAACAGAAATCTGAGTTAACTAAAGTGGCCAAAGAGTTTGTGCAAATGGTGAAAACTGAGTTTGGCAAAACGATCAAGGTGTTGCGATCTGATCCCGGTGGCGAATACACGCCTAATGAGCTTCTGGCATTCTTCAAAGCAGAAGGTATTCTTCCCCAACAATCATGTCCGGGTGTTTCACAGCAGAACGGTGTAGTCGAACGTAAGAACGGGCATGTACTGGAATTGACAAGAGCTATTCTGTTTTTCTCAAAGGTCCCAACGGGATTTTGGGTGGAGGCGGTTCATACCATTGTCTATCTGATTAACAGTCAGATAACTCCGCTGCTCGGCCAACGATCTCCTTATCAGGCTCTATACTCGAAGCTTCCAGATTATTCTTTTCTCCGGATCTTTGGGTGTACCTGTTTTGTTCTACTGCAGAGAAAGGAGCGGCACAAACTGGCTCCAAAGGTTGCTCGGTGTATATTTATGGGGTACAGTGACAAGCATAAAGGTTATATGTGTTATGACCCAGTGGCTCGTCGTATGAGGGTAGCATATCATGTTAAATTTCTGGAGAATCATATGCACTATCATTCATCACCTACTGAGGCTAGCACTGCCGAGACTTTAGCCTTCCTGCAGAACTGGCCGAGTTTTGAAACTACTCCTTCGATCCCTCTCGAACTTACTACTGATTCCAGTTCCACGAGTTCCGGTACCCACGGTGAGCCCACCTCACCTACTGCTTCGGGGCATGGTAGTCCCTCTTCCTCGTCGGGTTCCACGAGTCGCGACTCTTCGTATGGAGCGTCGAGCACATCGGGATCTTCTTCCCACTCCGCGTCGTCGAGTCCCTCGAGCGCCTCTTCTGGGTCTTCGTCTACAGCTACAGCCCAGTCGACACCTCCTACACCGCCTGTTCTTCCTCTACGCCGCTCCGCCCGATCCACATTAGGCCGTCCTCCGGCCCGTATGAGTGACTTCATTAGCTATTCTACAGAGCCGATTTTTGTTCCTCGTTCTTATTCTCAGGCTGTTCGTGATCCTCGTTGGAACTCGGCCATGCGGGTTGAGATGGACGCGTTAGAGGAGAATCATACGTGGGAGCTTGTTCCCCGTCTGGATGGGATGTCCGTTATTGGTTGTCGATGGGTTTATACTGTCAAAATGCTCCCAGATGGTGCTGTTGATAAGTTTAAAGCTCGCTTGGTTGCACAGGGATTCAAGCAGGAGTATGGTATTGACTATGAGGAGACGTTTGCCCCAGTTGTCAAAATGCAGACTGTTCGATCAGTGTTTGCGGTTGCTTCTATGCAAGGTTGGCCTCTCCTTCAACTTGATGTGAAGAATGCCTTTCTTCATTGTGACTTAAAGGAGACAATATATATGGAGAGACCTCCGGGCTATGATACAGGTGATTCTTCTATGGTTTGCAAGCTTGTTCGCTCTTTGTATGGGCTCAAACAGGCACCTCGTGCTTGGTTTGAGAAATTTCATAGCACTCTTACTCAAGTGGGCTTCGCTCAGAGTGTGAATGACCCCTCTCTGTTTACTCGGAATACTGTTGATGGTATTGTGGTTCTCCTGGTGTACGTCGATGATATGATTATTACGGGTAGTGATCCGGATGGCATTCGTGACATTACAGCTATACTGCGAAATGCTTTTAACTTGAAAGAAATGGGGGAGGTGTCATACTTCCTTGGGCTCGAAGTTCATCGGTCTTCGCAAGGGTTGTTTGTGTCTCAACGGAAATACATTCTGGATCTCTTGGACTCGGCGGGCTTTTCTGATTGTGTTCCCTGCTCCACCCCCATGGAGCAAAATCTTAAGTTGAGCAGAGACCAGGGGGAAGTGATGAGTGATCAATCGGTTTACAGGAGCCTAGTTGGGAGTCTCATTTACTTAACTCACACTCGCCCGAACATTTCTTATGCGGTTCAGGTTGTAAGTCAGTATATGGGAAGAGCGACTAATCTTCATTTGGCAGCTGTTCACAGACTTCTGCGATATCTAAAGCAGACTCAGGACGTCGGGATGTTCTTTCCCGCTGAAGGTGAACTGACTGTAGAAGCTTTTGCAGATGCAGACTACGCTGGGTGTGTGGACACTAGGAGGTCAACGTCGGGCTGGTGTATTCGGGTTGGAAACTCCTTTGTATCATGGCGTTGTCGGAAGCAGGATAAAGTGTCCAAGTCCTCCACTGAAGCCGAATACAGGTCGATGTCTGAGGTCAGCTCAGAGTTGGTATGGATACATCGTTTGCTTGAAGAGTTGGGCGTACGTTGTTAGGTCCCGATGCGGCTCTATGGGGATAACACTAGTGCGATACAGATTGCTAGTAATCCTGTATTGCATGACAGAACTAAACACATTGAGGTTCATGCCCATTACATTAGACAGTTGGTGGCAGAAGGATTGATACAGGTGGGTTATCTCTCGACAGAAGATCAGACTGCAGATCTCTTGACAAAGGCAGTCAGTTCTAATCGACATTGGTACTTATCGTCCAAATTGATGTTGCGCACCGCACATCAATTTGAGAGAGGGTATTAAAATATATTAGCTTAAGTACCAATGTGTAATTAGCCACAATTGTTTAATGTAATTAGAACTAGGGTTAATCTCCTATATAGGAGCCGGCCATACATCCCTGTACAATTAACGAGTATAGTGAAAACCTATTGAAGAGCACAGCCTCTTCCGTGGACTAGTCCTGGCAACAAGGATACCACGTTAAACTCCGTGTGTTCTTTACTTTCAGCTTGATTCTTTACACTTGGACGTAGTTGGAGTTCAGATTCGGAAGTTTTACTCCGAAAGGAGAAGGAAAAGGAGAAAACAGGAGAAGGAAACAAGTTCAACCCAAAATAATTAGGGCTTTTTATTCGTGATTGGGCCTTATGGCCTTTCCCTTTTTCTTCTGGTTTCCATTTGGATGGGCTCGGAGCTCGGTCTTTTCCCGTGGTGCACCAATTTCAGCAGGGTGAATTGCATGTTTAGTCATTCAGTTTACTAATTTTTTTTTTTTACATTTGTTGTTCGGTTTTGTTTTTTAACGGTCACTAACTTTAACTTCTTGTTTTCGTAATATGTTACTGACCATCGACTTTCGTTAAATTCGTCGGTAGTCAAGGATGATGTTGCAGTATGATTGACTAATATATCTCATGCCCCAAATCTTGTTTTTGATAGGTCTACCTGTGATCGTGATCACGGTTGAGATCTATCAAGCGTCATTGATTTGGTGTTGATTAGGATTTCTGAACGAAAAGACCCACTATGGCAGTCTTAGTTTCATCTCAATTATCCTGCTCTGCTGAACCAGTTCTTGGTGTCCATCTGCATTTGAAGCCACCTACGAATGCTATTGTTGCACTTTAAAACGCTTTGCAATGTACTTCTGGGAAGTGAACCTTGACTAGCGATTTCTGAAGTGGGATTTAGACGCAATTAGCAATTATTCTGCAAGAGTTGGTTTGAGTATGGCGCGCTTAAGCATTTTTATGCTGTTTTGGGATGTTTAATTTAAGATGGTAATCCGGTTGCTGCCTCTATGTCCAAGCTATGAAGCTAAGAGCTAGATGCAAAGAGGTCACGTCACTTCTTTAGCTTCAAACCAAACTACCAACTTAGACCAACCAAAAAACTATGCTCTGGCTACTACTACTACTACTAGAGGTGTGTGCCAAATAGGTGAATCGGGTCGGGGTTGGACTAGATTAATCGTAATCGGTCATAATCATGAGTCAAGTTGGGTTGTGTCGAATTAATTTATCGATTAATTGGTGTTTACTAATAGGCTTATATGCGGGCAGGTTACTGCCTTACTGGTTACATGCCATTGTCTTTTGATCAAATCGGGTTGTGAATGGTTGAATCAGAATTCAGATGCCTAACGTTCACTCCTAACGTTCACTGGGTTGGGTCAAATTTAATATTAACACCTTGGTTAATCAGCTGGGATGGTTTTTAAGATAATGATAGATTGGTTCGATTTGCAAGTCAAAAGTTATTACGACAAAAAGGGAGAATGGAACAGAAATTACAGAGACAGCAGGAAACATTACACATCACAATAATAATCTATAACAACAAAAGAGCATCTGCAGCACACCAGCAGAAGTCATAATCATGTCAATGACAATCCATGAAGAAAGAAGACTATAACCCTATCCCGATAACCTTGACACGAACTCAATCTTCCCTCCTAGGAAACCTAACTAATCTTGACAGAGGGAAAGATCCAACCAAAAGTTAAAACAAACAACAGCCTACTCTCTCTTTCCCTCGCTTCCAACTTCTCAGTCACTTTCTCTTCTTCGTTGGTGGTTGCTGAGGAGTATCATCATCATCTTCCTCGTCTTCCTCGTCATCATCGTCGTCGTCTTCGCCATCATCATCACCATCATCCTCGTCATCATCATCTTCATCCTCGTCATCATCAGAGTCTCCAGCGCCATTAACTTCAGGGTCGTCTTCCGGGTCCCCTCCTTCGTCACCTGTGAAATCCTCATCACCAGCATCGTCATCATCATCATCGTCCTCTGCATTGTCATCGTCATCGTCTTCACCATCATCATCTGTGTCACTGGCATCTTTGTTTTCTTCTACGTTGGAGCATTCCTTCTCGTGGAGCTTGCTGAAAGGAAACCTGCATTGATTATTCGTCAGCATTTGCTTCAGCTTCACATAATTAAGACTACCAATCGAATGTAAAGAATTCTCAGGTGGGTATACCTCTCTTCTAGATCGGTCAGACTGGGCAATGCCTCAGCTTCAGCCACCAGCAATCCAGTCTGGGGGGAAAAACCCATGATGGCATTAAAGGCAAGATACTCGTGTCATGGCAACAAAGATGGAAAATACTATGTCACAGAAAAATAAAAACTTCAAGTGAGCAAGGAACAAGAACAGTGCACAAAGTGATGGAATCAAGAGATAGACTACAGAGGGGAAGCTAAGAGATAAGGGTATAATTGATTCTAGCACGAAGTAACCAATATGACTTCTCCTTCACTTCATGGTGGCAATAGATCAATGTCATGAATCTTCCATAAATATACTAACAACAGAATCCTATGGCAATATCTTAATACAATAAGTCTAAAACCAGAAAGCACATAGAACTAACAGCTAGTGGAAGATTGAGTAACAGGAGTAAAAGCAAAGCTTCCAATTTGAGGTTGCAACGCTAAATTAATGCAGGCATAAGCAGGGGCAGAGACTCTGAATCACACAGAAAAATAAAGAATATCCTATGTCACCCAAAACGAGTACAAGTCCAGAGGAAGTTAAGTCTGTTAAACTCAGCTAAAAACAAAAACGATCGATGTTGTACGTTACTAAGGAAAAAAGGAACAGCAATCAATCACCATTCTTTTGAAACAGCAAGTTGGCACTTTTTTCTTCCTTATTAAACCAACAAACAACAGGCAAGTTGCCAAGTTGTTTGTCTAATAGCATAACAGGAAAACGTATAACCTCAGTTATGCTACCATCTCAAGGGAAAACCCCAACAGACATAGACAAACGCTCCACTAACATCACTGAAGCCCAGCAAACAACCTCTACACATTAGACAGTCAGTATAATCTTCAAAGCTATAGAGAACAATTCAACACAATGATCCACTACGAAATTTCTACGTCATAGCTAATGTGGGCCTATAGAACATCTAAGCCATCTCTCAGCCAGAATCACCATTACATCAAATCCTCAAAGCTTCATGACAAACAGAAAGCCACCTATTGACACACAACACTACTACATTCATGCCAAGTAGATACTTTAACAACACACTAAACAGCTCAGACAACAATCAAACACATCAAATCCAAAAATCACACCGACGAGTACAGGTACATTCACAGTCACGCACATAAAGCAGCACAAAAACCCTAATTTTCACCAGATCAGTAAAACCCCCTACCAAAAGCAAACGCCTCCACCATTCCCAAGTCCAACAACCAACAAAGAAACACCAGAGACAACAGCAGAGCAACAGTAGACGAACATAAGTACAAACCACACCAAGCATACAAAGCAAAAGCACCCCAACAAGCACAGAAAGAAAGATTAAATGTCACATTGGGAGGGAAAAAAAAAGGAACAAGGGTTTATCTCCTCCATTCATCGAGTCGTACCATGAAGAGCAGGCAAGCAAGAGCCTTTCCGGCAGCAACAGCCGTTTCCACCACCATAGCTTCAACAACAGAGGAAGCCCACTCGACCCTCTTCCCCACAGAGCTCATACTGCCCAAAACCTCCATTAACGGCGGCAGTATTACCAGATGGCGACGAGAAAGGGAAAAAATCAAATCCTCAGCAGAGGACAGCAGCAGGGTAAGAGCGAAAGCGGAGGGGGAGACGAGCGAGCGAGGGAGTGTGGTGGAAAAGGATGATCTTTGATTTGGGTTTTTCGGAGCGCCGTCTTGGGTCCGGTTAGGGTAAACCCTGCTAGGGTTTGGTCCGAATTTGGGGAGTTTTTGTCTTTTTCCGGGTCTTTTTGACCGTTCCGATTGGTTGGGTTCGGACTTCGGGGATCCGGAATTGCACCCCAATTGTGGAATCAATGGGAAAGGGAAACGGTGGCGGGTGGTGGAGTAAATGTGGCGTTTTTTTTTTCTTCTTTACACGGCCAGTTGGCCGGATTCCATCACCAACCATATAAAGAACAATATAAATTAGTATGAGAGATAAACATTTTTTTTTGGTAACATAATAAAATCTGAGTTATTCAAATATTTAAATTTTTGGGTAGAATAAAAAAATCTAAATTATTAAAAATACTTCGACAAATAAAAAGGATCAACATCGCACTGTTCTCTGACATTTAATGACAAATGGACTAAATCCTTTTACGAAAATGAAAAACAAACCTTATGTAAGGGAAACAACTCCTAAATACATTATCAAATCATCATTCTATTTACTCATCGTCGTTAGATATGATTGCACGTATTCTTTTTTAACTTTGTTGCATTTTCCTCCGTCATGAACAACACCATCATCTCCACCAATAATAATGTCTTCATCTCTATTACGAAACATTTATCATCATTATCAATTGCATATTCCTTCTTCTCTTGCATTTCAATACTTTGCGGAGAATATTTCTTCAATGCATAAAACCACCTATTGGTCGGACCAATTGTGTTTTATGCACAATTAACTTATCCTTGTGTTTTACTATTTTAAATCTAAATATGGTTTTTTTCCTAACATTGTGTTATCAAATATTCGTAGTCAACAATGAATCAATGGTTTTGATCATTGTCAGAAACAATATATATTCTAAGTTAAGATGTTTAATCACTAATATTGACAGTTTGTTATTTATCCCATAGGCTTATGTCGAAAAGTTTCAGCACATACAATGATTTCGCATTTATCTTATGTTGACTCATTCCCGATGTGAAGGTTTGTAAACTCTCGATGGAAGACATTATGCCTCGATTTTTCAACCACAATACTCAAATTTATTATCTTATACAACTTAAGTTGGCTTATTATTCTCAAAATTAGGAATAATTCTCAATCGTTACTTATTGACCTCTTAGTATATCATTGTATTTCTTATCGAAAATGTTTGATCTCTGATAAATATTGTTTACCTGAATTCAAGGTCATTTATACATCATCAAGGTTCTATCATGGACTTGGTGATGCATTTGGATCCATCATGGACTTTGTCCAAAATTCATTGTTTGTTTCATGTATTTAGGGGCAACAAATCTGCGGGGCCCATGAATTTTAAGGGTCCAAATCCGTGGACCCCGCATACTTGAAAGTTCCACATTTGTAGGTGGGAATTGATCATGGACTTTGAAGTAGAGATGGCAACAAAACCCGAACCCACGCGTACCCACCCGACCCAACCCGGTCAACGCGGGTAAAATCCGTGTTGACGGGTTTTGGGCCGGGTTTGGATTTAAACCCGTTCACTATTCACCGGGTTGGGTTTAGGTAAACCCGACCCATGGGTACCCGCCCACACACATATAATTAATTTTCTCGGCGTATTTAATATTCTAAACAACTAATCTTATTTATGTTTGTGGAGACATGTCTAATTTTTTCTTTCTAGTTATGTAGTAAGAAGTTGATGTTATCGAGTTGATAGTGAAAAACTTAATTGAAAGGAAGAAGCTTTCAATTAATCATGTTATTTATGGATAATTTGTGATTTGCTTCAATTTTTTTTAGTTTTCTAGATTGGTGTTGAACAATTTGTATAGTTAATTTGTGATTTGCTTGAATTTTCTAGAGTGGTGTTTTATATATGGATAATTTGTATTGAGAAATTGATATTTGATTTTAATTTTGATAGGAATTTGTTATTGTGAATTTTTTACGAAAAAAATCCGTGGGTACCCATGAACCCGCGGATACTCAGCGGGTTGGGTTGGGTTTGAGTTTTTCAAACCCAGTGGGTTTTACCCCGGGTTTTTTTCATGGATAAATCCATGGGTTTGGGTTTGGCAAAACCCGACCCAACCCGACCCATTGCCATCCCTACTATGAAGTCTATCATTTAAGACCAAACTACCCTCATATATCATTTATCTTCTCATACCAATGAGGGCAATAAGAGAAATTTGACTTCATACATACAAATTTAATTAACTAATTTCATCATTAAATCTATGAAACAATCAATGGCATTTTTCAAATCCATAATGAACCGAAAACCCTCATATATCCATGGTTTTACAAAGCCCAAGTTCTACCAAAACCTTCATTTTTAAAATCCACGAAGCAAACGACCCCTAGTTAACGATTCCTTAATTCTAAACACATGATCTAGAAATTTAGATATTCCTGGTAAACATTTAAAAGCTAATGTTTTCTTATTAGTATAAGTAATTGATAGGATGTGTCTATAATGCATCGCGATCATGTGGTTCCAATCAAGGTTGTTAATCACGTTTAAGTCATTTAGCTGGTCAAACAAATGGTTTGAGTTTCAATGGTTGGATTTGGGGTCCAATCAATTTAAGCCATTTTATCCCTATTATAAAATATGGAATTTTTTAAGTGGTCTGTGTTGACTTGGCAGTAACGTGGCGTGTTGATCGTTAGTCAACGTGTTTGACCGTCCAAGATAACGATCAAATCTCGAGTTTGGTCAATTTCGTAACCTTTGATGCATAGTTAAGGTGACGATTTTATAGATCGAAAAAATTAGTTAGAATGTTTAATTTGTGAAAAGTTCGGGTAGTACAAATATATTAACCCAAAAAATATATGATAATAATTTAAGATTTTCACAACCTGAATGTAATTTGACAGGTAACATGCAATAATTTAACAATTAACCTATTATTTTATCCTAAAAGCTATGTGTATATATATTCGGTTTTCCAAATATTAATAGGGTTGGTAAAGGACCAAAAACCAACATTTTATCTAACCCTATGTTTCCGAAGGAAGGGAGGAAAATGGAGGGGAGGGGAAGGGAATTAGGAGGGGAGGGACAATTTGGAGGTTAAGGAAATTGGAAAGAAAATGGTGTTTTATAGAAGAAAGTGAGAAGGAAAATGTGTATTGGGAACTGTGAGGGATATGTTATTTTATTGGGTATATAATAGTAAGAAAGTTTAATTATAAGTTGGTATTATTTTCATTGTTTAATTGAGAATTAAATTTGTACTTTCTTGCTAATTTTGTTCACTATTAAAAATCAAAAGTAGATGATTAAAAAAATACCAATCTATTTTTAAAACTCTTTTCTCTATTTGATTCATTCATGAACATACAAACTAAAAACATAAACAACTAATTGGAGCTATATATCTAATTATCTCATTAATGGTCTCATTAATTAACTATCAATATTAATATTTAAAATTTCACATAAGTCACTTACTAAAAAAAAAGCTATAAAAATGAATTGGAGCAATATAAAGGGCACATGAAACAAGAAAAGAAATTGGAAAAGAAAGAAAAATACAATGAACGAGAAAAAAAAAAATGAAAAGCAAGCTTTCCCTCCAATTTGGAGGGTAGCTTTGTACAGTACCTTTTCTGTCCCATTCGCTCATCTCCTTACTGTTTTGAAGCTAGAAAAACAGGGGAAAATGTCTAGAAAAGTGTGTTCCCCTACCTTCCCCTCCCCTCCCCTCCATTTCCTTCCTTCCTAAACAGAGGGTAAGAGTCGGAGACCGGTCAATGCATTCTTTCTTCCATGCAGGTTGCGATTGTTGCTGATCTTTTTTCCACTCACCAAACTTGAAATTTATAAGGTAATGTTGCGGAGAGGGAAGTGTCAACACATATTATATTTGATACCACAAAGGTAATCAAATTATTTAATTACTCGTGCAAATTTGGACATGCTAATAACCCTATATTTTACTAAATTCTTCACAATATATTTTAGTAGAAGCAAATCTTTAAGAGTAAAATATTTGGCCCCACTAAACTTTACACGCATAAGAAGATAATGTTGCGAAGAGTGAAGTGTCAACACATGTTATATTTGATACCATAAAAGTTTTCAAATTATTTAATTACTCGTCCAATTTTGGACATGCTAATAACCCTATTTTTAACTAAATTCTTCGCAATATATTTCAGTAGAAGCAAATCTTTAAAAGTAAAATATATGGAAACACTAAACTTTACACACAGAAGAATTGTAAAATCATGAATTAAGTCGGGAGTATCATGATCATTCTAGGTTGAATTCAGAAATTGGGGTTTAGTTCATGACGAAATCAAAAGATATAATCATGTTCATAATAATCATGTCACGAATCAAAATAAAAGGAAAAGAATATTGAATTTGTCGAACGATCCGGCTCCAATTCCTTCTGGCTCTGATCGCTACTCTTTGCTCCGCGCTCTGCCCGGAACTAATCGCCAGCTCCTTCTCCTTTTTCAACCACAATACTCAAATTTATTATCTTATATACTTATTGACCTCTCAGTATATCATTGTATTTCTTATCGAAAATGTTTGATCTCTGATAAATATTGTTTATCTGAATTCAAGGTCATTTATACATCATCAAGGTTCTATCATGGACTTGGTGATGGATTTTAATCTATCGTGTACTTGGTGATGGATTTGGTGATGCATATGGATCCATCATGGACTTTGTCCAAAATCCGTTGTTCGTTTCTAGGTTTTACGCTTACGGTTGATCTTAATTTAATAATAAATACTTAAAAGCTTACGGTTTTACGCTTCTAGGTCGCCCAACCGCTTCTAGGTAGGATTGCGTTTTTGACTGCATTGGTAGGAAGGATTAGATCTTAATTTAATAATAAATACTTTCACCTTCATTATTTATTTGTTTTTATTTTATTTAGAGAATATTTTCTATTTTGGATTAATTAAATATTAAATTTCTTGATTCCTTCTACAAAGTTTTGAACACAGAAGAACACTTCATAATGTAGGCTCTAGATATTTGCAAGAGATTAATATAGAATCACTATACTTGTTTGGTTCACCTTTTTGCAAAAATACAATATTTGTCCTAATGTCTTGTATAACTATTTTGCTATTAGATAGTGTGGTGAATGGGTTTTTTTCACATAGAATTCTACGGTTGTCTTTAGTTTTTGTGATGCTCTTTTATCTTATAGTGAATACGAATTTTTACTCATGTCTTGGTTTCCTAAAGCGCCTTAAAGCCTCTTGCAATCCAAAGTGCATCATCATCATGCCTAATTGTCTCAAAGAATACAATAAAACACTAGCAGGCAATTGGTCCAGTACTCCAGTCAGCCCGACTTAAAACCAAACACAAATCAGTAGTCCATATTAATTAACGTTCCCAAGCTATATCCTTGATGGAGAACATTGATCTTGCGAAAGTAAATTAGATACTTATATATTGATTTCAGCCGTAGACTCTAAACTGGAATCGACCTAGCACAGCAATATACTAATCTAACCTTAAGCTGGGCAATAGCTTCCCATCCCTGCCGGTAGGAAAATAGTCTTTTATGGCCACGCCATTGACATCAAGTGCATCGTAGGTGCCATCCTCGGCCGCAAGGGACTTGCCTTCAGTTTTGACGAAGGCGGAGAGCTTCCTCGTGAAGGCCGGCTCCCATCTGTCTTCAGGATAGAGCTCTCTGAACACCGCAGGAATGCCGCGATAGAGTTTGTCGATCATGTTCCTGCATCGCTTGAGTGCGGTAGCCTTCGCCTCCTTGACCGCATTTTCCAGGTTCAAGTGCCAGACCTCTCTCTCTTTCTCAAGAGCGTCACGAGCAGCAGAGGCCTCCTCAGCATGGCGTGCCTCCATATCCTTCTGTTTCTTCTCGCTGGCTTCAAGAGCTTTCTTCAGCTCGTTGGTCTCCTTTCTGTAAGCGTCGGCCGTCTGAGAAATCTTACGCCGAGCCTCACGTTCCTCTGTGTGTTGGAGTATCAACTTGTCTGCACGATCCAGTAACTAAAAAAGTAGAAACAAGTAAGTTGTAAGAGTTATCAGAAACGATGTCATGAACGGGAATGTGCGTAAGAAGTAAATTAAGCGGGCATACCAGAAGACAGGCGTCGGCGACACTGCCGTCGACTTCAGAAGCGGGTATTATCTCTTCCTCATCGGAGAGTGCCGAAGCAATAGAGTGCAGTGCACTGACAGCAGCCTGCTTTGACTGACGGGCATCGGCAGGAATCACAACCGACTTCGACCCTATTCGGGCACGAGTGGCTCGCTCAGCTTGAACATCGGAAGCTCGCCGCTTGGTTCCATGATGCGAGGGCGACACATATCTAGGAGGAGAATCAGAGATCACCGTTGCTGAAGTCGGAGGAGCAGCGCCAGATGAAGCACGTGGAGTCTCGTGCAGGGATGTCCCCGCTGCTGCCGAAACTTTGGGAGCGGGAGAGTGCCGGGAGTCACCTTCGATGCCTCGAGAGGCCGTGAATGCAGGAAAGAGCATCCGGCGGGACACCATTGCTGTAAAGCAAAAAACCATCATCAACAAGAAATGAGTTCAAGACAAACGAGAAAGTGCAAGAGCAATAAAACAAAGAAATGACACGCACAGTTATCAAACACCGCCCCCACCAAAGCAAGGCAAATGCGCTCATCCTTCAAGTTCCATGAAGGCAGCTTCCCTATGGCAGCGATAATCCGTTGCTCATCGTTCGTCAACTCAGGTCGTTCCAGCCAACGTCCCTTTGCCCAACCGGTTGGAAGTGGCTTTGAATCATCAGTTACCCACTCATCCGGAGGAGGGCGCACAAAGAAGAAATCTCTACAAGTATGCTTGGGGGTCTTCCTAGTGAACCCGTTAATAGAACGCTTCTTCTGCAAGCACAAGCAAGTCTCTTGATGACGGATGCTGAAAACATAGCAAAAGAGACGTAAAGTCGGGGTCGTGCCAACTAGCTCGCATGCCAGAGTGAAAGCTGTTGTTTGAGCCCAAAAGGATGGTGAGAGGCGGCTGACAGTGGCTCCAGTCTTGTGAATGAACTCCTTGAGCCAATTCGCCAGAGGATAGATCATACCAAACTGCACTGACTCAACATATACACCCATCCACCCCTCGGGACAATTGCCAATGGTAACACCATCGCTGGAACAGGCGTAATCCCAATGCGTTGGGAGATGGAGCCCGACGAGCTGAGATGTGAGTGCATCCCTCGAAGTGAGACCACTAAAGATCTCCGGTCCAAGATTCTGCCCTTCGTCTGGAGGGTTATCAGAAGAAGTAAACATGTCCCTCCAAGAAACTATTTTCAAGGAACGACAATGCTCAATGTCCATCCTAGCAGGTGTGGCAACATGGAGGGGAAGCCTGTTGGCACCCTCACTCCCATCGTTGCTGTTACTCGATCTCGAAACTCCTACCTCCTCCGAAGAGGCCGAACCAGAGTCATCATCACTTGAACCACTAGCTGAAGCTGAGTCTTCCAAAGAACCCCCAACCGAATCATCACCCTCAAATGCTTCTTCCTCAGAATCGCTCATTCTGCCAAGCTATAAGTTCAGAAAAGTACGAATGCCCAACAAACAAGCTGAGTATCCTGCGCAAAATGAGAGAATGGGGAGGAAGCGTTCACCAATTGATACAGGGAGAATGAACCCACGATAACACAGAGTGTTCAAGGCACAATGAGCTATCAAGAACACACACTGAGTTCATTAGAGAACCGTCCAACAGTAACCCTAAACCCTAATAAAGAAATGGAACTTTCAAGAGACAATGCATTACCAAAACAAAACGGCACTAAGCACGCGGCGCACAATGGACTACCAAGACGACATTGAGAAGTGGAGATGAAGATTGAGCTTTACCCGATAGTCGACAGATTAGAGAGTCCCTCTGTTGGCTTCACCGCAATGGAAGGATTGGGGTTCGGCCGAAAAATTCGACGGAGTGGGAAAGCCAGTCTGTCACACACGAATAGAAGAGGAAGAGAAGGATTGGTTTAAATTGATGAGCGCTCGAAAAGAGGGGGGATTTCGCCATTGGGAAGGGAGAAGAGAAGGAAGCTTTTTTGCTTTGGAATTTGGACTGTGAAAGAGGAAGGAAGACGAAGCATCGCAGAGGAAGTACTTTGAACTTTTGGCATCAGAATTTTGTGCATGGAGCCCTTTTGAACTTATTTAAACTTGGGAGGATGTATTGGTATGAACTTGAAAAGAGTAGGATGTAAGTTGAATTTCTTTTTCGTGCAGTCAAAGAATTTTGTTTTATTGCAGGAGAATTGGAAACTTCAATGTCACTTGTTTTTCTGAATTTTCTGTCAAGGCTCTTCTTCTTCATCGCCCATTCCATTCCAGTCAACACGGGGCAGGGCTAAACCGAGCCAACCAACCAGCAAGCCCAAAGCTTTCTTCCAACCCTCCTCTTCTCTCTCTTTCTCTATCCCGGGGGACGAAGAAGAAGAACCCTAATTTCTGTTTCCCCCAAATCCCTCGACAACTCCACCTTCCTTATCGTCGATAGTGCCAACCAATTCAATCCCAGATCAAGGAGGGGGAAGGGGGAAACAGTGGGGGAACAATGTCGTCGGAGATCGAAGTAGTGGAGGAGGAGGTTGTTCATCCCGGTGATCACGGGGTAAACAACGGGATTGCGGCTTCTGCCAGCGGCGGCGAGAATGCTGTCGGCGACGAGAGCCTTAGGAACGACGTTTACACCGCGGCCGCGTATGGGGATTTGGAGAAGCTCCAGAGATTAGTGGAGAGTGAGGGTTGCTCCGTCTCCGAGCCCGACGGGCTTGGATACTATGCTCTGCAGTGGGCTGCTTTGAATAATAGGACAGCTGCCGCTCAGTACATAATCGAGGTTGGTATAATTGGATTTCCTTTTTTTGGGGGGTTTTGTTACTTGATGGAATCGTTTGTTTCCTTTCCTCTTCATTTTGATGTTTGGGGTCAGTCTAGAGAATGGTCAATCTAGTTTCAATTTGTGTGTTGTAGCCCTTTTGGAATGACTGAGTTGAGAGAAGGAATTAGATGGACAGAGCTTTCTGGTGCTTATCCTTTTGCATTCTGGAATTAGAAAGTAGGTGGTGTTGGTTGTCTTCTGCTAAGGTGTAGGACACTGAACAATTTTTTTGGACTTGAAGAAGCTCGCTCAATTCATCAATTATACGTGTTCTGAGTAGCATGGAACATTTGATTGTCAGCATGGAGGAGATGTAAATGCAGCAGATCACACGGGTCAGACAGCACTACATTGGAGTGCAGTTCGGGGTGCAATCCAAGTTGCCGAACTTTTACTTCAAGAGGGTGCCCGCGTAAATGCAGCTGATATGTACGGTTATCAGGTTAGTGTTAAATCCATTGCTATTTTAGGTGGCAATGATTCTTTGATTGCGATATCTTGTAATGTTTCTGAAAGATAACCGAAGTGGAAAACATGTTTCTGTTAGTATAGTTTCGCTGAGAAAATTATGTTAGTAAAGGAAATTTCGATCTGCAGCATCATGATATAATCGTCTAGACCAGTGATTGTAGGATTTTGTTCATGTTGTTAGATGACTAGTGTCCATGAAGATGAAAAGTTTTGTAAATTTTACTTGCTTCCAGACTACACATGTTGCAGCTCAATATGGTCAGACAGCTTTCTTGTATCATGTCGTCTCAAAATGGAACGCGGATCCTGATCTTCCAGATCATGATGGAAGAAGCCCCTTACACTGGTACGGTCAGACATTCATTCACCCCCTTGTCAAATTTGTAGAAGGCTATAAAATCTCCAAACACTGTAATTTGGTTTTACTTGTTCTGAAATTTTGATGCATCCTTGGACCAAGAAATTAATGAACTCCAAACACTGGTACACGCTTCTAGGTGGAATCTCGATTCTTCTTCAAGACACAGACTTAGGCTAGTTAGAGCAGCCAATCTTGGTTTATTTCTTATTTCCCTTAGTGAACTGAAGCCTGGGTATTTGCTCGTTTTACTAGTCTTATTTGTTACTCATCTGTTGACGTTCTACTTCAACTGTGAGACTTCTTGATTAAATATTCCTATTTGCCAAATTACAAAATCTTTTTAATGTTTAGTGTCGTCTCATTTGGTTCATGAATTGAGTAGTTACTGAACCATAATAATGTCTTTACTTTTTTGGGAAAATGCAGGGCTGCTTATAAGGGTTTTGCCGATTGTATACGTCTGTTGTTATTTCTGGATGCATACAGGGGACGACAAGATAAAGAGGGTAATAATGTCAGCTTCATAGATCAATTTATGTTGTTATTTATTACCAGCCACTCCCTTTTATATGCTACTGGGGCCATCTTAATGTAGTAACTAAACTAAAATTCTGATTTTACTTAAATTAGGTTGTACACCGCTTCACTGGGCTGCAATTAGGGGTAACTTGGAGGCATGCACAGTGTTGGTACAAGCTGGCAAGAAGGAGGACTTGGTAATCACAGATAACACGGGGCTGACTCCAGCTCAACTTGCTTCTGACAAGAATCACAGACAAGTTGCATTTTTCCTTGTAGGTGTTCATGCTACAAGTACACCTCCATTATTAGATACAAATGTTAACTGGATGACATATATCCCCATTTCTCTTTGAATTTTAGATATTTGTGTAAGATGTTACTAGACTTCTCTTAATAGGTTTCTATGGTTACGTTCCCTTCTACTTTCACTTCATCTTCATTTTGGAGTTTCTTAAGAAATTCTGGTAAGAAGCAATAAAATATGTTCCTGCCAGTTTTATATCAAAATGATCTGATTCTGCAGGGAAACGCTAGAAGGCTGCTTGATAGACGCTGTGATGGTGCCACCCACTTGGGACGTCTGTCAAAGTTGGGACTTGCTCCTGTGCTTTGGTGTATAATAATTATTCTCCAGATCATCTATATACATTCTGTCATCATGGGTATTCTTCATTACCATTTTTGTCTGAGTTGTTGTACTCCTTTGAGGATTTCAGTTAGCATGCAGTATTTGATGGTTTCTTTTTCAATTTCAGCTCCAAATCTGCCCAAGTTAACAGCTGGCTTTGGCCTATTTGCATGGCTAGGGGTATTTCTTGCAACCAGTGGGCTTGTGATGTTTTACAGGTGTAGCAGGTATGCTTCGGAAGTTCTCATGAAATGGACTCATCTGTAATATCGATTAATGATCTGTTGTGTTCTTGAAGTTCCAATGCATGTTAACTAGCCAAAGGATAAGGCATAGAATGACTATAAATGATCGAGATTCTTTGGTTACTCCTTATGTTCTCTTGGCTATCATCTCCCTTATTGTTTCACCTTTAAAAGGTTCTATGTGTTTTCCACCACCTTCCATTTGACTGTGTGAGCTGTTATGTCTGTTCTGTTCTTATCCTTGATTGCAGGAAGGATCCTGGATATATAAGAATGAATGTGCCTGATCCACAAAACATGAAAGATGATGTAAGTTCCATCATTTGTGGATTCTGTATGTCTAGTACTTCATCCACTGCCCTTGCTTCAACAGTCACCACCCCACCTCCGGGAGGAAATGGGAAGGGATAACAAGCAGAAGTCAAATGGAACCTTATTTTGTTAATTGGACCTAATAGAATAGAGGATTGATGTCAATGGACTCTTTGAGGGTCGTGCATGAATCTTTGGCAGCTCTTACCTTCCATAGAGTACCAGCATCGTTGGTTTGTTGACTACTGACTTCATGATATCTGCACAATCCTTTCTACTAGGAACCTCTTTTGAAGATCGAGATAAACAATCCTGCTTTGCTTTCTGGGAATTGGTCTCAGCTTTGCGCAACGTGCAAGGTAGAGTTTTTATCACGTGACTTTTAACTTGTCTGATAGAAATATGCCTTATGGTTGAGGCTTAATGGTTCATATTTTTCTCACCTCCAATATTATCTTATATACCAGATTGTAAGACCTCTTCGTGCGAAACACTGTTCCACATGTGATCGTTGTGTCGAACAATTTGACCATCATTGCCCGTGGGTATCAAATTGCATAGGCAAGGTGTGTGACCAACTGACTGTCGTTGCTTCATATTCTCTTTGGAGTCGCAATATCTCTACCCATTTAAATAAATATGTGGATTCATCAAGCTCATTGATATCTATGCAGAAAAACAAGTGGGATTTCTTCTTGTTTCTCATTTTGGAAGTCTCTGCAATGCTGATAACTGGTGGCGTGGCTCTCACAAGTATGTGACTTATTCCCCTTCCAAGATTGTAACCCTTGAAGTGCCCTCTTTATCCTTCTTCATTTTCTTCCATTCATGATGGATCTTCTGCACCGATTTCAGGAATTGTTAGCGATCAAACGGCTCCTTCAACATTCGGAGGCTGGTTAAACTATGCAGGCACGCATCACGTTGGCGCCATATCTTTCCTGATGGTCGATTTCTTCCTCTTCTTCGGCGTAGCTGTTCTAACCGTCGTCCAAGCTTCTCAGGTGAAGTTTTTGCTTCTCTTATCTCGCGCTCGGCGTTCTCGGTCTGTATAAGGGTGAAACCACGGTCTGCTGCATATCTCATGATATTCTTCTCCACCACAGATATCCCGCAACATAACAACCAACGAGATGGCAAACACAATGCGGTACAGCTACCTGAGAGGCCCTACTGGTCGGTTCAGGAACCCATACGACCACGGATGCAGAAAGAACTGCGTGGATTTCTTGATCTCGGGGTACAACACGGACGTGGAGTTCGTCGAAGACTCCTCCCAAGAAGGGATCGGAATGATGCACATGTCTCGACACAACACGACCACCCTCCAGAATGGCGACGCCCCCCAGATCCCACACCATGCCTCCGCCAATGGCAACAGCAGCAGCGGGCATATCGCAATCAATGTGAACAACCGGGAGAGCAAAGGTCAGCAGCACCATGTTCATTCCTCCAACTGCAGCCATAGTAGTAGTAGCAGTAGTAGCAGCAGCAACCAGGGGAAATCTAAGACGGAGAAAGTGCCGTTGGGTTTAGGTCTCGGTCTCGGTCGGAACGGTAGCCGTAGCGTGGCAGGCCCCTGATGATTTCTTACTCACTACTTACAGTTTGCATCCATTGTCTGGTTGTCTTTTTTTGATTAATTTAGATTTCTCTGTTGAGTGGATGCAGATTTGTCTGTACCATAGAGAAAAAAAGGGGAACGCCTCTGTTGTTTCAGCTGTGTTCTTACAATTCAATTGGTTGTTGCTCCCTTTGCTTGTACAGCATTGGCTTTGCCATGATCCACATCATTTCCTGAACCTGAATGAGGCGGCGCGAGAACCAGTGCCCTGCTGCATCCAGTACCCACCATTACCATTGAGATCCCCATTCTTGTTGCAGATGCCTATTAAATTCTTGTTGCAGATGCCTATCTGTTAGTTGTAGCATGCACCTTACCATTGAGTAGCATGCAGCACAGTAGGTTGGAACTTTGAATTCAGGGCATAACTGAATTTGATCAAATGAAATGAATCGAATTCAATTCACACACGGTACAGCTCAAATCTCAACTGCCGCCATTTGAGGCAAGCGAGATCCCAATTCCAAATAAAAAAGATTCATTTTTTCCTTCCTAGTAAACCTGAATATTAATTCGAATTGATTGCTACATAGTACGATTTCGATCGGTCAATCATAAATGCTGAAAAACTATCTACATAGTTCGCTATTCTATTCTACTAGTTGTAAGCTGGCCCGTCGGCCAGATAAATTATGGTAGGGTTTTGCTTTTGGGAAGTAGTATTGTTTGATGTTTTTTTCCAAGTGTGTTTAGCTTGGCCTTGGTGGATTAAAGAATCAGACCAAAGCAGGATGTTGAGTTCTACATTTTTGCTCAACAGTGACTTCGAGCAAAGTGCAAAACCAAGGTCGTCGTAGGGGGAAAGAAGCAAAATTAGCTGCATGCAGAAGAAGGCTCAGTTTTGGGTCAAAAAAAGGATAATTAATTAGCCTTTGTAACTATCGTTTTCCCATATTTAAAATATCATAGTGGCCACTGACTTGTGTTTTCTCATGTTGGGCTTTAGAAGTCCGCATTGGTAACCCAACCTTGTAAGTTGTAACCTTTTCGTCGAAATAGAAGCGAAAAACCAAACTTCTAAACTTTCTACATAACACAAACGCAAACAAAATTCTGAATCGTATTTGATACGTTTCGTAACTGGATTTCTTTATATGATTAGAGAGTGAGAGAAGAGAGCATCAATCGCCGATTAAAGACTGAATGAAGAGGTGAGCATTGGTATTGAAATGGAGGATAAAGAGAAGGGAAGGCATTTTTGCATGGCAGAGTCTTTGGAATGAAGGTCTCGGATGGTGGAAGTAGGAGAAGCAAAAAGAGGAATCACAATACATAAAGTTGTATGCGCCATTAACAATCTTGTACCTTGTTCTGGAGTGTAACAGAAAAGGTTAAGTAACAAAGGTAACGACCTTTGTGGACGTAAGAGCCTGTTAATAACAAAGATAACATTAACTTGTATTAATCAAAATCCATTAATACACAGATGATTCTACCATATGGATACAAAAGCTATTTGTTTAACCTCTACTCAATTAGTTCTTAAAGGTATCCACAAATATATGTTGACATGGGGAAAAAAGGGAGGTCTCTTAAAGAAGATAATTCACAGTGCATGAATCCTTATGAAGCAGTAAACAAACTATGTTCAATGTTATAGAAATAAAAATACATGAGTCTAATGTTCTAATCATCATTATCATCACTTGCTGAATCCACATTCTTCTATTTAGCATGGTAAAGGAAACAGTACCGGAAGTCATACCGGATCCGTCTGTGGTATGGTATTTTGTGGTACGACCGTGGTTCAACCGTTGTGTACCGGTAAACTACCGTTTTTGTAATTAAAAAAAATATTTTTGTTAAAAAACCGTACCGTCAGATTCATGATACCATTTCGGATTAACACCGGAATAAATGGGGAATATACCAGATAACAAACCTGAATTAAGCATAGATAATATAACATAAAAATCAACAAAGTACAACATTCTCAAACCAAACAACATTCTCATACTACATAATATTCATTAGGAAGACAAAAGCAACGAAATATGTTTAACATCACTGACCTCCAAAGTATGCTTATTATTACATATGAGTCTAAAGATTGTAATGTGAATTGAAGAGTCCCATGACAACAAATCATGCACGGCGCCAGAAAAGAAGAGAAGAGGAACGGAGAAGTGGCAGTCGCGGGTCGCCGGTTCCATAGCAGCAAATCATGCACGGTCGCCAATCGCCAGAGGTGAAGAGGAGGAGCGGCGGGGCGGGCCTGGGGAAGAAAGAAGAAACGATTAATAGCCTGGCTGTCGATTTTCGTTAGAGAACTGATTAGGGTTTCTGGCCTTCAGCCGATTTTTTTTTTATAATTTGAAGTTCCAAAAACGGCGACGTTTTCATTAAAATAACTCTACCGCCGGTTAGACCAAAATCGACCGGTATTTCCTTTTGTACCGGTTAAACCGAAAAAACCGTCCGACACGGTATTTTGAGTGTCATCAGCCTACCGTATAGTTTCAGGTCCGGTTTCCGGTTGAACCGACCAGTACGATCTGGTTTCCTAGTCCATGCTATTTAGAGCCTTGACTGAAGGTGTAGCACTCACATTTGCATTATGCTTGAGTCAAACTTTCATAGTAATGCTACTATTAATTAGATTGAGAGCAGTTCCCTTTGTGTAAAAACTAAACACAACGTAGCTTCCTGAAAATGCAGGGGGGAGGAGTATATTGTCACCAAAACTCGACAACACACAACAAAACATGGCCTACTTTCTAGTGAAGTGGTTGGTAAGGGTTTGTTATGTTGATTTTCTTTGTAGTTAAGTAGCAGGGGGTATACATAGTTTCATTATTCAAGTAACATGAGTATAGAGGCCATGTTATCCAGTTCGGTTCCTCTTTTTTGTACACGACAACTTAAATTGATAATAAGAAGCAGAGCACATGACATCTTCTTAATTAACGAACAAATCTGAATTGTTAGATTCCTTAGCCTCATTCATCTTCTAGAGAGTGAATTCATTTCAGGTGATGATTTAATTTGTTCATATTGAACTCCTTCACCTTTATGTGGAAGTCAATATCAAAACTTCCAATTTCAGAAGGTGACAAGGCATATCACTTGGCTCGTTTTCCTTATAGAATGTAGAGCCTGTGTTCTTGCTTTCATGATCCAAGAGTACAAACACAGCTTCACCTGTTGGATCATAGAAAAAAGTTGAACTAAAAACCTGCTCCAATTTATATCAAATTTAGATTGAAGTTGATTCAGATTGTAGATAGAGTTATTGGTCATCGGATGAGATAAACTAAACATAAAAAGGGATAGTTAAGTTAGTAAGGAACATTTTCATACTTTTGTCAGTTTGTTGCTTGACATTTGTCTTGGTAAAATTTATCCGCTTCAACTTGTACTTTGCCGGGGAATTTGGTGTAAACATCGTAGAATGAATCATTTAATACTTTGACAACGTAACTTTGAAATGGACAGAGGCTATATTGTTCTGTTATGAGGACATTGTATTGAAAAATCTCTAGTGTCATCCCTATCTGTAGCGCGAACCTGTTTAGATTGGATTCATTAACACCTGTGTCATTGTAATTCTAAATCCTAAGGTTGTAAGTTGTAAAGTGGCAGATATATGTTCAAACCGAATTTCATATGTAGTCATTAGAGCAGTCATAGATCTAATATGATCTGGATAAAATGGCCTTACCTTATTAGCAGCATCAGTGGTAAAATCCTTCAACTTTGAATCTAAAGAGGACTAATAATATCATGACCTTTTCTTCAAACTATCTCAGAGCATCCAAAAATCCCAGAAGCTACCAAGTTATCATCCGACGAACTCCACAGAAAAGTGTCAATCTGCATGTGGGGAAAGTACCAAGAATTGTGAAACAATAAGAAACACACTACCATGAGAATTCGACAATCGTCAGGGAACAGGGGCTTGAAGATAAGAGCCGAATTGCAAGTAAAAATCTGTACATAGAGAAAAAAAGATTTTGTGAATGATTAGGTACACGACATCAAAAGAAATAAATAACCATCCTCGTAATCTACCCATTCAAAGCTTATAAACTTGGCAGATATGATCTTTAGGATGAGAGTCGCCGCTTGGACCAAGCTTCCTCCCTCGAGATAACCATCCCCCAGTGTAGAAACTACTACAATCAAGCCTCTTGCCTTGGAGACTTGTGAATCCCCAAAGTCTGGTCTAGAAACGGCGGTGGATATATTAGATTGGTAGGGTTGGTAGAAGGAATAGAAGGGAATTAAGAAGGTGAACATGGAGGACGAAACTGATCTTCCGGTCTAGTTCGCCAGGAAGGAAAACCAAAAAGCGTAAAGCATGAATGGCAGATAAATCATAGGGTAAAAATCATGTTTGTAAGAGTGATGAAGATATCATATCAGTAAGGGAAATAATAAGATTCTTCGATTCGAACAGAGAAGGGGACGATGAGTAGGTATCGACAAAGGGGAGAAGGGAAAACGAAGGGGATCCGAAAAATCTGTCCACACAGATCTCGCGTCGCAGAAAAAAAAAGGGAGGAATCACCATAATACCCTTATCGCAAATCAAGGGGAGTAGAGAGATTTTGAATCGGAGAAAAGTACACGAAAGTGTACTATATATTAATGGAGGATTCTATTCTATTCTAACACGCGCTGCTGCGTTTTGCGTCTCGCTTCGTATGCTGGCAGATCTCCCATTCAACAAGCTTGAAGGGTCCTCTGAATAATGTCCATCTATCATGTATGCTAAGTTTGCATCCAATTCCAATCCATCCTATAGTCAAAGATTCAAACATGCTGACCTTTTCATGTTCTTTGTCGTGTTTATTTATTTTGGTGCGGAAGAAATCTCTCCCAAGTCCCCTGAAAAAATTAAATTGTTTTTTATAATAATTATAATAATGTAGAGTTGTTAAACAAAGGCCCGCCACATCATTAAATTTATCAATGCCAATGATCTAATACTAAAAGAATATAGTTACTTAACTTACCAAAAAAGAAAAATTACTTATTAATTAGTGAATTTAGACCTGCCAATCGGGTCGGGTTGAGAACTTCGGTTACGGGTCGGGTCATGTTTGGTTGGCTTATTTTGGGTCAAATATTGACCCAACCCATTCGATTTCGGGTCGGTTTACAGGTCATTTCGAGTTATGAGCGTTCTCAGAAACACAATATCAAACATGCTTCATATTTTCTTAAAGAACACAAATTTTCACATATGCATGACAATAGTTTACCTAACACATGTCAATTAACAAATTCTCAAATCCTCCCACGCTAATGAAATGAAATATAAATTGCACAAATCGTCAAAAAACAATCACAAGATTAATACTACTACAAGAAACACATGATATTTGATTATCCTTAAACTCCAAACATGTCATTCAAATCCTTGTGATTTTTTTTAAACATCTCACCAATTTATGAGTGATTTTATCATATTTTGGGAGTAATCTATTAAATGGAATGGGTCTAACGGGTCGACCCGCTAACCCACCCAATCCGACCCAAAAAATCACGGGTTATCGGGTTCGGGTCATTCGGATTTCGGGTTATAAAAATTTCTAGTTTTCGAGCGGTTTCGGGTCGGGTCAAGGGGTCGGGTCGTAATTTGCCAGGTCTATTAGTGATGGTAATGGGTGGAGGCATGTGGGAATTCAATACCCATACTATGGTGTGGGTACAAAACCAGATCGGACGATCTATTTGTATATGTTATTTGAGTAAAATAACATCGTTATTTACATCAAGAGAAAATATTTCTTAAATGAATCATATATATAGTATAAGGAACAATTTAGTTTAAATAGAGGAACGCTGGATTTAAAAATTCTTTGGAATGAAAAAAATGATTTTAGAAAAAACAAAAGAAGAGAAATACAAGTATCTATTAATGCAAATAATTATAAAACAGATCAAGAACAAAATGGAACAGGATGTACGAGTTAAATATAGTATTCATATCGGGCCGCACTACTATAATGAAAACCAAGATCCCTTTCGATATTCTCAATTTATAATGAAGAGTGATCATACCTGCATCACCTTACTACAAATCGAGTAATATTTGGTCACAAATAAATTGGGACATGTGAGATAAGAAATTGGTATCATTGAATATGATTATAAGCCTTCAAAATATGAGTTTGATTCAGCGCTGTGGGCCAAATGGGCCAAATAAGACTTTCTCGTCTCTCTCCCGCTCTCTGAGTTTTTGTTTTCTAATGCTCTGTTTCTGGTCAGGGCGTGATTCTGGTGCAGAGCCAGCCCACATAAGATGAGGTAGACGAGCTTCAGGGCAGCAGCAAAAGAAAAGAAACAAGGGAGAAGAAGAAGATGGGTGTTTCTACTGCTAGCAGTAGTAGTTCATCGTCATGGATGTCTTCTTTGACATGCCACCCCGGCGGCTCGCCGGAGGTTGACTTCTCCTCCTCTCCCACGACGGCGCTCCAATGGCTGAGATTCATTCTCCTCTCCCCATGCCCGCAGCGGCTCATGCTGTCGTCCCTCGACATCCTCTTCCTGCTCCTCCTCTCCGTCTTCGCCCTCCACAAGCTTTTCTCCACTCTGCTCTCCTCCCGCCGCCGCCGCCATCAAGTCAATGGCGGCTTCTCCGACGAATCCAACGTCGACAAGCCCCTTTTATCACCTCCCACCGTTCCAGATGTGATCACTACCGACATTTGGTTCAAGGTCGCACTCGCCGCCACCGCCCTCTCCGCCGCCTGCTCCGTCGTCCCCTGCATTCTCGCCTTCACCGGCTCCTCGCCGACGGGAGACTGGAAGCTGGTCAACGGGCTGTGCTGGTTGACCCAGGCGATTACCCATCTCGTCGTCGCCGTGCTGATCGTCCACGAGCGGAGATTCCGAGCTCTCCGCCACCCTCTCTCCCTCCGAATCTACTGGGTTTTCAACTTCGTCGTCGCTGCTCTGTTCTCGTCATCGGCGATTCTCCGCTTCGCCGCCGGCCATGGCGATGACAATTCCTCCTTAATTGCAGATGACGTCGTTTCAATAATCAATTTCGTCGTCTCCGTTGCCCTCCTCGCCGTCGCCGTGAGAGGTTTCACTGGGGTAGGAGTTGAATCAGGAATCAAATTAGAAAAACCCCTTTTGGAAGAAGAAGGGGATTCGTTAGATAGCGCTTTTGCTTCAGCCTCCATAATCTCCAAGGCGTTCTGGTTTTGGATGAACCCACTTTTGGGGAAAGGCTACAAAACCCCATTGAAGCTCGAAGACGTCCCCAGCCTCGCCCCACACGACAGAGCCGCCACCATCTCCGATCTCTGGGACGCCTCCTGGCCGCAGGAGAAAAAATGCCAGAACCCAGTTCGCACCACCATCCTCCGCATGTTCTGGAAGGAAATCGCCTTCACGGCGTTCCTCGCCATAGTCCGCCTCTGCGTCACCTACGTCGGCCCGATTCTGATTCAGGATTTCGTCGACTACACGAGCGGGAAGAGAACCTCGCCTTACGAGGGTTACTACCTGATCCTCACTCTCCTCGCAGCCAAATTCCTCGAGGTATTGAGCTCCCACCAGTTCACTTTCAACACCCAGAAGCTCGGGATGCGGATTCGCTCCTCTTTGATTACAGCTCTGTATAGAAAGGGGCTGCGATTGTCCTGTTCTGCTCGTCAGGCTCATGGAGTAGGGCAGATTGTGAATTACATGGCTGTGGATGCCCAGCAGTTATCTGACATGATGCTGCAGCTCCATGCGATTTGGCTGATGCCTTTCCAAGTTGGGGCGGCGTTGGTGCTTCTGTATCGAGCCCTTGGAGCTTCCACTCTCACCGCATTCGTTGGGATCGTCGCGGTGCTCTTGTTTGTGTTCTTTGGCACCAGGAGGAACAATAAGTTTCAGTTCAATTTGATGGTTAACCGGGATTCGAGGATGAAGGCCACCAATGAGATGTTGAACTACATGAGGGTGATCAAGTTTCAGGCATGGGAGGAGCATTTCCTGAAGAGGATCCAAGGTTTTCGGGACTCGGAGTATGAGTGGCTTTCCAAGTTCTTGTACTCCATTGCTGAGAATATACTTGTCATGTGGTGCACGCCTCTGCTGATTTCGACTGCTACTTTTGGTACGGCGATTCTGCTGGGCGTGCCGCTGACTGCTGGCACGGTTTTCACCACTACCTCGATCTTCAAGATTCTTCAGGAACCCATCAGGACTTTCCCGCAGTCGATGATCTCGATTTCGCAGGCTATGATATCGCTCGGGAGGTTGGATAAGTACATGCTGAGCAAGGAACTGGTGGAGGAGAGTGTGGAGAGAGGAGAAGGATGTGATGGTGGAGTGGCTGTGGAGATTCAGGAAGGTGTGTTCAGTTGGGATGATGAAGCTGAGGAGCCCATTCTGAGAGATATCAATGTGAAGATCCGGAAAGGGGAGCTTAGTGCAATTGTTGGAACTGTTGGGTCTGGCAAGTCCTCTCTGCTTGGTTCTGTTCTCGGTGAGATGCACAAGATTTCTGGCAAGGTATGATATTAACCAAACTGCAGCCAACCCATCAGTGAAGAAATTGTTCTCCTCTTTTTATAACAACAAAAACTTCATCTTCTGCTGCTTTCTTGTTGAATAGGTGAGGGTGTGCGGGTCAACAGCGTATGTGGCTCAAACTTCATGGATTCAGAACGGAACTATCGAAGAGAACATTCTGTTTGGTCTGACAATGGATAGGAGCAGGTACAATGAGGTGGTGAGAGTGTGTTGCTTGGAGAAGGACTTGGAAATGATGGAGTTTGGAGATCAGACTGAGATTGGGGAGAGAGGGATTAACCTTAGTGGTGGACAGAAGCAGCGGATTCAGCTTGCCAGGGCTGTTTATCAGGATTGCGACATCTATCTGCTTGATGATGTTTTCAGTGCTGTGGATGCTCATACTGGCACTGACATATTCAAGGTAAGGAAACCATTAAAAAAGGAAGGAAAGAAAGTAGGACAGAAATGATTCTGAAAACTTTTTAATCAAACAACTCTGCTGGACTTGTGCAGGAATGCGTGCGAGGAGCATTGAAAGGCAAAACCATCTTGCTGGTGACCCACCAAGTAGATTTCTTGCACAACGTGGATCTTATAATGGTGAGCCGAGGAGCAATACTTTTTTACCTTTTCAGCTGGCTGTTGCTTTGTTTACTAGGCTAGATTTCTCGTTTGTGGTGATAACGTAGAGTCTCATTCTCAGGTGATGAGAGATGGGAAGATTGTGCAATCCGGAAAGTACGATGAGCTGTTGGGATTAGGGACGGATTTTGAGACACTGGTAGCTGCTCATGACACTGCCATGGAACTCGTGGAAGCTGGTAACAATAACTCACATGGTAGTGAAGAAAATGGCCCCAAATCGCCAGGAGGAGCCCCTTTCAGCCCTGGAAGAGAAGCAGCAAACGGCAGTAGCGACAACAAGGTATCGTCATCAGAACAACCCAAATCAGAGCAAGGAACTTCCAAGCTGATTGAAGAAGAGGCTCGTGAGACAGGCCAGGTCGGCCTGAACGTTTATAAGCAGTACGTCACTGAGGCATTTGGATGGTGGGGTGTTGTAGCTGCAGTGGCGTTGTCCTTGGTCTGGCAAGGGTCTCTGATGGCCGGAGATTACTGGTTGGCCTACGAGACTTCCGCCGACAGAGCTACAGCAGCCAACCCGACCATCTTCATTTCAGTGTATGCAATCATCGCAGTGATATCAGTGGTTCTGTTGGGATCCAGGTCATACTTTGTGACTCTGATGGGACTGAAGACCTCCCAAATTTTCTTCAATGGTATCCTTAACAGCATCCTGAGGGCTCCAATGTCGTTCTTCGATACCACGCCATCAGGACGAATTCTGAGCCGGGTAAGGAACAATAAACATTTCTTTCCTGTCCTTGGTATGTGTTTGTTTCTAAACAATTCCTTAATTCTGTGCAGGCTTCAACTGATCAATCGAACATCGATATCTTCCTTCCATTTGTATTGTCACTCACACTGGCAATGTACATCACAGTGCTCAGCATCTTAATTGTGATTTGCCAAAACGCTTGGCCAACTGTGTTCTTGTTGATCCCTCTTGGTTGGCTCAATGTTTGGTACAGGGTAATTTGATTCACACCCATTCCTTCACCATCTTGTTTTTTTTTTTCTTCCTTCTAATGACAAATTGTTTCCTAGTTAACCGGTTCACTTTTTCTCTCTTTCCTACTGACAGGGCTACTTTCTGGCAACATCTCGAGAACTTACGCGACTTGACTCGATCACAAAAGCCCCAGTCATCCATCATTTCTCAGAAAGCATCGCCGGGGTAATGACTATCCGGTCTTTCAGAAAGGGAATCAGGTTCTGTCAGGAGAATGTCCGGAAAGTGGATTCCAACTTGAGGATGGACTTCCACAACAACGGCTCCAATGAGTGGTTGGGATTCCGGCTGGAGCTTATCGGCTGCTTCATCCTCTGCTCTTCTGCCATCCTCTTGATCGTCTTGCCTAGCAGCATCGTCAATCCAGGTAAAATTACACAGACAGGAACCTTAACATTACTGGTGTAGACATGAACAAACATTAACATTACTGTTCTTATTATGCAGCCAACGTTGGATTGACACTGTCATATGGGCTATCCCTGAACGCGGTGCTGTACTTCGCGATATACACGAGCTGCTTCGTGGAGAACAGGATGGTTTCGGTGGAGAGGGTGAAGCAGTTCACCAACATCCAGTCGGAGGCAGCCTGGAGGATCAAAGACCGCCAGGCGCCTCCCAACTGGCCTGCTGAAGGCAGAGTCGACCTTCGCGGGTTGCAGGTCAGGTACAGGCCCAACACTCCCTTGGTGATCAAAGGGATCACCCTCAGCATTAACGGCGGGGAGAAGGTTGGGATTGTGGGGCGAACTGGGAGCGGGAAATCCACCCTGGTCCAGGTTTTCTTCAGGCTGGTGGAGCCAACTGCAGGCAGGATCGTCATCGACGGGATCGACATCTCCATGCTCGGCCTCCATGATCTCCGGTCCAGATTCGGGATCATCCCTCAGGAACCTGTTCTGTTTGAAGGCACCGTCAGGAGCAATGTGGATCCCATCGGGGACTACTCCGACGATGAGATTTGGAAGGTTTGGCTTGCTTTGCTTATGCTTTTGGAAAAAGAAAGCTAATATTGTTTCTGTTAGTATGTGGTATAAGATACATAATCGAATCTGCCTGCAGAGTCTGGAGCGCTGCCAACTGAAGGATGTAGTAGCAGCCAAACCTGAAAAGCTGGACGCTCCTGGTGAGTTGATGCACAGCTTTATAGAACAGCACACAGTTTTCTTACCACAACAATTACAATGGTTCCTTATAGTTTCTGCCTTTCTGTGTCGTCATGCAGTGATCGACAATGGCGAGAACTGGAGCGTCGGGCAGAGGCAGCTGCTGTGCCTGGGGCGGGTGCTGCTGAAGAAGAGCAGGCTGCTGTTCATGGACGAAGCTACGGCTTCTGTCGATTCCAAGACGGACGCGGTGATACAGAGGATCATAAGGGAGGATTTCGGGTCCTGCACCATAATCAGCATCGCTCACAGGATCCCAACGGTCATGGACTGCGACCGAGTCCTTGTTGTCGATGCTGGTCAGCTCCAATTCTCTTCTTCCATGTTCCAAGCTAAACTAATGATGTATCTGTCTGTGTTCCTGAACTTGATGCATGGTTTTGTTTTTCTTTTCTGTACATGAACAGGACTGGCCAAGGAATTCGATAAGCCGTCGAACCTGCTGGAGCGGCGGTCGCTGTTTGCTGCATTGGTGCAGGAGTATGCTAATCGATCTGCTGGATTATAATCGACTTCATCGTCGTGGTCATGCAAACACACAACGAAATTTCTGCATTTATCGATTGTTTTCGAACCTTTTGCCTGTAGTCTTCTGTTAAAGGCTGCAAGTTTTACAGAGTTCAATTCTGTCAGAGAAAGGTTCTGTATGATGGTTGGGAGTTTGCCTTATCCTCTGCCTCCATCACCTCCATTATTGTAGCTGTAACAATAATCTCCGGCTTCCGCCTCAAATGTGACCGCAGAAGCTAGGCGGAAATGAATCTCTAGTCTATACTTGAGCCTCATCAGTAGTTGTTGGCCTAAGCCAAAGGAATCATGGTCGCTTTTGTTGTATTCAATGAAGGACAACCCTTTTACACATGAATTTGGTAGAAGTGAATGCCACAAGATTCATAATTGCACATCTTTCAATAATTTCGGATTATTGAGAATAAACCGTTCATCACATGATATCAGAATTTTCTATAACCAAAATATTTTGTATTCGTGTTGATGTTACTTTGGAGTCAAATTATCTGTTATTGGCTGGAATCCAATGAAGCTCCCCATTAAAATAACCAGCCAAGATCCTCTGCTTTTTGCCTCTGTCCTGTGTGGTCGCTGTGAGTTTGGCCGGAGCTCGTGCAGGTCATGTCACGTGGCGGCCACTACTCCAGTTCTTCTGCCTTCGTTTGTCGTCGTCCCTGTCGCTGTTGTACTGGTCTGGGAAAAGTATTGGAAAGGAAGAGAGGACAAGTCTATGTCTTTCGGCGAGCTCTGTTGTTTTCTCGTTGTATCTTTCCTTTGGTCACGACCAGCCGAAAGCTGTCACTGTAGTTAGATTTGATTACGGAAAAGCTTTGTCTGTGGTGATGGTGAGGCTTTTTGGTGTCGAGTAGCAGCTGAGAGTAGCTGAGTCAACCATTTGGTTCCATTGTTGGAAGAAGACAAACAGGGGAGAGAGAGAGGCAGAGGACGGAATCGTTTTGGTGTTGTCTTCTTCCTACTTTGATCAACAAATGGAAATGACTCCACCAACCAAGAAGAAAAACCAGATGAAAATGATGGCTCCTTCTTGATTTTTTTTTCTTTTTCTCTTCTGAGGGTAGAAGACATCTCCACGATCAAATAACAATAGGTCAAGTAAGTACCACTATTGTGAATTGTCAATTGGATTGTAGTTGTGAATTTGTGTATTGGATTGAGTGGATCTGAGCGATAATTAATTCTTGGATTATTGGGAAACAAATTGCAATAATGTTGACGTTGTTAGCATAGCTAGGAGAAATTCGTTTAATACTGGCATATGTATTGTATGTGTTTAGAAGTGACATTCTCGTATTGTTGTAGAAGTTGCCTCCTTATAACTAATGTCGAACTTTTTAAAAATGTATTGTTATGTCAAAATGGTATGTAAAACTCCGTATGCATTAACATAATGACGTACACACACCGTAATTTATCAATTCATGTAGTTAAACATATATAATGTCTTTAATGATCACGAGACTCAGTAATGGAAGCAATAAATAAACAAATGTGTTGAGTACTGCAACCAAAAAAGGATGATAACGGGTCGAATCAAGAATATGTATAGTGCTGACCATCCATTACACGTACCCTAACTAGTTCGGGTTTTGTTCATATTCATATTCGGGCAAGATTCGAGTAGAGAATCAAACCATGTCCATACCAAATTGAGTTTTGCATATCCATAGATATCCATGGATAATATTTTTTTAATTAATCTTCTCAAATATGTGTTAATAATCATAAATATATTATTAACATACATAAGTGAACAAATTATAAATAATAAATCACCAATACTAAGATAAATAGTAAAAGAAGGAATATTAGTCCATGAGATGCTATAAATATACTAGGAATAGCAAATATCTTAAAATACAAATGACAATTTATACAAAATGTTGCGAATACAAGTATAATCAGACAAGTTTGGATTGGATAGTAAGAGAATCATATTCATCTATTATCCGTACTAATTGGGTTTACAATTATGACATACCACGGTATTTTATTTCCATTGGATTTTGCCCTACCCAATCGTATCGGATTCGTGCGGGTACTAAGAATTATAGGTACTTTTGCCTTCATGCAGCCAAAGAACCCATGTACGTTATCAGGTTAACTAAGGGGTTGTTTGCTTCAAGGATTTGCATCATGGATTTGGTACCAAAAAACCAACCATCATGGATTTACACACAATCCGTTGTTTGCTTTGTCAAAAAATGTTTAGATAAATCTGTGGGCACCACGGATTTGAGTTTTTTTTTTCTCCAAATCAATGGGCCCCACAGTTTTATAAATCCCACCTCATACCCTGGGATTTGGAGACAAGCTAAAAAACCATCAAATCCATAATAAAAATAGCTCAACAAACAAAGGATTTCCTCAAATCCATAATGTCCTAAATTCCTAATATATCCCAAGGTTTTTAATTAGCAAATCCATGACAAAACCCTCGTTATAATATCATTGAAGCAAACGACCCTAAAAGAAGTAGCAGATAGACCGCAGCCCGTCCATTTCTAACACGAATTGACAAAGGCCTAAAAGCCCAATTAAGGAACCAAAATTAGAAATTGAAGCCCAAGTATTGGGCTAATGGACGAAAAGGTGAAGAAGGCTTCTCGGTTTTAAAGCCTTCAAATTTTCGTGTCACGACAGGAGACGGGAATTGGGCTCATGGGCTGTAATTCAATCCTCCATGCACGACGCCGCCATATCATATACGAACCTAGAGAGAGATGGGAACGCCGGAGGCAGGGGCGGACTCAGGGTTTTATAAATTTCGGGAAAATGATTATCCAACTCCGGTGGTAATATACGTATAGACAAAAAAAAAAAAAAATTGATAGTGAGGGACACCCCTGAAATTTGAAAAAATGATTATCCTACTGTTATTTGTGTATAAAAATATAAATGGTAGGTTGGGTAATTCAAATCTAGAACACTAATATTATTAATAAACTTAATTTCCGTTGAGCTACAACTCATTTGTTGTTCGATCTAAACTAATTTCAATCTACCCTTAATTTGTATTGATTTTATGATTGTACGACAAGTGTTGAAGAGTCTTTCAGCTTTGGGTTACATCAAGAACAAGTTTACAAATCGAATATGCGATAAGTTCCTGAATGATTGTCTAGTAGGATATATGGAGAATTTTTTTTAACACTATAAACATCAAGTGTATTCTACAATTATTTTCGAATATGAAAACACATCATGGACTTTTTTAACCTGTACAAGTAAGGTATTTTCATATTTACGATTTTATTTTTATTAATTATTTTTATTAAATTTATTTTTTAAAAGATGACACCCTTTGGAAAATTTATGGGTCCGCCATTGGCCGGAGGTGGCGGATGTGGTGCTCGACAAAGGGCTCGCGCCGGCCGGATGGTGGAGACAGTGCTGACGGCGACGGGGGAGCTTGGCCGGGTTATATTACGGGGGAGATCACTTCATCATGCATGAGTCTACGTAAAGGAGTGCGGATCCCATGACTAAGGGGGGGTCCTTAGTCACTTGACTAAGCCCCTCCTAGCCATTAGATCTGGACACTTCAATCTAATGGTTAAAAAGTGGGAAGGGCTATTTAATTAATGACAGGGGTAGTTTGGGTATTATGAAAAATTACAAAGTATACAAACTGGATTTACAATCAGTACAAACCATACAAACATACGAACAGTACAAACTAGAGCGACAAAACATACAAACATTACAAACGTATGAACTGTACAAACAATACAAACTAGACCGACAAACAATACAAACCATACAAAAAGAAAAAACACCCGGGTTGACTTTGGAGGCTTCATCCCTATATAGAGGGGCTCCTTCCCAAAGTCAACCCGGGTGTTTTTTAGACATACAAACAGTACGAACATGGTGGACAAAAATGACAAACTATATCGACAATCCATACGAACTGAAAAAACACCCGGGTTGACTTTGGGGGCTCCATCCCTATATAGAGGGGCTCCTTCCCAAAGTCAACCCGGGTGTTTTTTAGACATAAAAAACATTACAAACATGGTTGACAAAAATGATAAACACGATACACAAAAATAACAGGTTTACAAACATTACAAATAAAACCGACAAACATTACAAAATAACAAAGCGTACAAACATTACAAAAAAAACCGACAAACATTACAAAAATAACAAAGCGTACAAACATTACAAAATAAACCGACAAACAATACAAAGCATACTAATAGTACAAAATCTCTCTCTCTCTCTCTCTCTCTCTCTCTCTCTCTCTCTCTCGTGGGAACTTGGGGAATAAATTCCCATAACAAAAAGTGACCGCCCAGGTGATGGCGGATCCCGGCGATGGCGGATCCCGGCGGGGGAAAAAACGAGACGGACGGCAGGGCAGGGAGAGAAGAGCCGGAAAAAAATTATTTAATAATTGAAAATAAAAATAATCATGAACTTACAGTTTTGCCCTTCATTAAAGTAGATTAATTGTAGCCATTAGATTTTAATGAGATGGAAGGGCTGAGATTTACTTAGTCATGTGACTAAGGCCCCCCTCTTAGTCACCTGATCCTAGCCCTACGTAAAGGAACTCATGCATAAAATAGTGGTCGAATTGAAGGAGTTGGTGGACGTATCCTAATAAAGCTGGAATCTAGTCCTAGCTAGGATGACGGGTTTAGAACAAGAAAACGGACACAAGTGGAGAAATGAAGATTCATGAGTGCTTGCGTTGCCATTAAACCAATCCAAATGTAAATTAGGAGAAAGGGGATCAAGTATAATGTGATCTTTCCTGGTCGATCATCATTCATAAAAATAATAATCTATAATAGAATCTCTCTCTACAAGTTGAGTTATTTTGACTAAATGGTTTTTGAACATCATGGAAGGGTGCCTCTGACCTCTGTGGCTGGATTAAGAATGGTTTTTTAAGAACGAGAATAAGGTTAATAAATGCGATTCGTTCAGTCCATAGTCCAGAAGAGTGAATTTTAAATTTTCAATGTTAATTCAAGTCAATCGACTCGAAAATGAGGTGTGTTAATTCAATAAAGACTAGATTAAATTAATACACAATTAAGCTTCCTTGTTAATGATACCGAGCTATTGATCACGTCATGTTACATAAAAGTATAATTATATCCGTCAGAAATAAAACCGATAGAGAGTCTCAATATGAGTGTGATTCAATAGTTTCACACTACGATTACGATGCTAACGATTATTGAGATGTACGTTGATCGATTGTTAGACACTTATAGACTTACAGTGACGCTATCTGATGAATGGATGAAGGATAGTGGTGATTGAATTCGGGATTCATAGAAGATACTTTGGAGATTTTGTAGAAGATTGGAACAGAATTAGGGATTGGAAGGGAGATTGGGATAATCTAATGATACTTTGATAATTTGTTTATTGATTGATTCCCTGACAGAATAGGTAAACGAAAATATATAGACACTAACCCAAAACCCTAATCGACTTAAACCTAATAAAGTACTAAACTAGCCTTGACCTAAAGGCGTACCTCCATCACTATCGTACAATATTCCTTAGTACGTCAAGACAGTAATCTAATTCACCACATTGAAAATTGTACTTCTAGATACTTAATAATGTAAAGAGTGAATAAACAAATGCTCTATATATTGATGCTAATGCAAATGTTCCGATCTTATTCATATAAAATTGGAATGAAGGGAGTCTCCATCGTCTTTTCCTGTAGACGTAACAGCGACGACCGGAAAATGACCCGAAAGAGAAAACTGTGTAGAGATTAGAGAAGTTTGGAGTTATATGTTAGTTTGATCTCTTATCACCACACAAATAAAAATGTCCAATTTGTCGCCCTGATTATTGCTTTTGTACTCGTTGCATTTTGTCACATCTTGATTAATGCAAAGTCCCTGGCTTCAAAATCAAAGAATATAGGTATGTAATTTGGTTTTGTAAAGTAACTAGGATCACCATAACTTCCAAAGTATATCTTCATTTAGCGGTTATGAATTCACCTCGAGATATGAATGCTAAATATTCGGCTAAAAGTTGGTTTATTTGTAAACACGAGCAACACGAAGTCTGAACTTGTTGGTGATGAGCTGCTAATAGGTAGACACGCAATATTTGCAATGACCCAACTGTTCAAATAAGTGCTAGATTTCGATCGCGAGATTATCTCGATAGTTTATTTGGTGAAACTTGCATCTATTTGTTGTTGAAATCTCATAAGTAGTCCTTAATTCCAAAGTCAATCTTAATATATTGCACAATTCCAAGTACCTTCTATACCTACCATCAGCAAGAGGGCAATGGCGCCATGATGTTTTGGACGCTTTATTCTCATCGGAGGAGAGGAAAGCCATACAGGCCATTCCCTTACCAACAAATCAAACGAAGGATAGGCTGTGTTGGGAGAGTAACTCAAATGGCTGCTATAGTGTTCGTGCAGGCTATAACATAGCCATCGAACTGCCACCAGAGGAGCCTGATATAGAAGAGATAGAAGGAGATACAACTAATGCCCCTACGACCATCAACTGGAAAGATCTCTGGAAGGTTCAGACCCCACCCAAGGTAAAATACTTCCTATGGAGAATGATGCATAATATCCTTCCTACTAATGTTAACCTCACTAAGAAAATGGAGGAACGCTTCGTCCCGGATTGCCCTTACTGCGGTATAGCTGAGACCCAGGAGCATAGATTTATGGAGTGTGAATGGTCACGAAGAATATGGAGGAGATCCCTTTGGTTAAATATGTGTGGGTATGGAAATGGTGAAGAAATGTCGGGCTGGCTGAACAAACTTCTTACTGAAGAAGATACAGATATGATAGCAGGTATATGTTCACTCTTATGGTTTTTATGGGATGAAAGGAATAAACATCAATTTAATGGGAAGAAACTCGAAGAAGGGGAAGTGGCAATAAGAGCCCAGAATTGGATCCTGGAATATAAGCGAGAACAAGAGCTGCAAAACACGCCCAGGAACGCAGGGGAAGGGCGTCAACATCACTGGATACCGCCGAGTGTGGGTACTTTGAAGGTCAATACGGATGCAGGTTGTCTAGGGGATGCAGGAACAGGGCTTGGAATGATTGTACGAGACTGGATGGGCGAGTTCAGATTTGCGGCAGCCACAAGAGAAGCGGAAAGATGGACTCCAGAGGTTGCGGAAGGCAGAGCGGTGGTATTTGCTATAAAAAAGATGAAAGAGCTATAGTGGGGACCGTACGAAGTTGAGTCGGATTGCCTTAACCTGATTAGAAGATTGCAGAATCCCTCAACTGATTTTTCTGAAGTAGGTACGGTGTGTCAAAATATTCTGCATATGGACGGAGTGGAGAACTGTAGAGCGTGGCGCCACACTAATCGGGGGAAAAAATCCAAAAGTACCACTGTTTAAAAAAAAATTCCAAAAATATCACCCAATCCCAAAAAATTCCAAAAATACCACCCTTTTTCAAAAACCGCCACCCCACCCTGCGGTTTACACGAAAACCGTTTGTCGGGGGCGCGGTTTTCTATTCAAACCGCGGGCCTAGGGGGCGGTTATTAAAAAAAAAAATTTTTGGACCAAACCGCTGGGTGGGGTGGCGGTTTTGACCCAAAACCGCCACCCCACCCAGCGGTTTGGTCCAAATTCTTTTTTTTCCGATCAACTCCTATCTTCGGCCGAAACTTCAAACGAACGTAACTTTGCACTCGGGTATCCGATTGATGTGAATTTTTTTTCATTTCTCATAATTTTTCAAGATCTACAACTTTTAGTAGGATGAAATTTTCAAAACAGGAACTATTTTTGGATATGCGGGACCTTGAGAATAACTTTACCTTTACTTTTCACAAATCCATGTACATTTTGAAATTATGATTATATTAAAAGTTGTAGATCTTAAAAAGTTATGCGGAATAAAATAAAATTCATAACATTCGGATTTTGGAGCACAAAGTTATGACCGCCCAAAGTTTGACGAAATGCGAGACCCGGCGGTATGCGGCTTGCAAGATCTCAAAAAGTTTGCGGCCTCCATTTTTTGAATCCGAATAAATTTTTGAGATCTTGTAAGCCGCAAACCGCCGGGTCCCGCCTTCGTCTCGAAAAAACGTCATTTGCCACCCCGAACGAGCCTTTTTTTTTTATTTCGTCAAACTTTGGGCGGCCATAACTTTGTGCTCTAAAATCCAAATGTCATGAATTTTTTTGTTTATTCCACATAAATTTTCAAGATATACAACTTTTAATATAATCATAATTTCAAAATGTACATGAATTTGTGAAAAGTAAAGGTAAAGTTATTCCCAACGTCCCGTATATCCACAAATAGTTCCTGTTTTGAAAATTTCATCCTACTAAAAGTTGTAGATCTTGAAAAGTTATGCGAAATGAAAAAAAAAATCGCTACGATCGGATACCCGAGTGCAAAGTTACGTTCGTTTGAAGTTTCGGCCAAAGATAGGAGTTGATCGAAAAAAGAAAAAAATTTGGACCAAACCGCTGGGTGGGGTGGCGGTTTTGGGTCAAACCGCCACCCCACCCAGCGGTTTGGTCCAAATTTTTTTTTATAACCACCCCCTAGGCCCGCGGTTTGCATAGAAAACCGCGCCCCCGACAAACGGTTTTCGTGTAAACCGCAGGGTGGGGTGGCGGTTTTTGAAAAAGGGTGGTATTTTTGGAAATTTTTTTTAAACAGTGTTACTTTTGGATTTTTTCCCTAATCGGGAAGCAAACAAGGTGGCTCATAAGATAGCACACTGCCAAGTCAGAGAGAATGATTGTAATAGTTGGATAGGGATTTCTCCTTCATTCATTTTGGATGAAATATACTTTGACATTAGCCATTTGACTTAATTAATAAATTACAGGAGGTGCGCTCCCTCCTTTCTCTAAAAAAAAATTAATTAATCATATAATATCTAGAAGCGGCCGGCTGACTAAAGCGGGAGCGGGAAGGATTAAGAGGATGGGTCGCACTTTTTCTACCAGCAAAACCCGCCGACGGGTCCCACCATATTCCCCTCAAATTTCTGATCTTATCCGTTCAAGGGCTCCCAACCCCGGCTCCAGTGCGCCACGTGTCATCCATCGGACGGTTCTCCCACTTCCACCTCTTCCCCACGAACAAAAGTCCAACGCTTCGGCCTCTTCCCCATGCCTCCTCTCCGCCATTGCTATCTATCGCTCACTTTCTCCCTTTCCCCTCTCCCAACTTCTGATTCCCTGTGACGATCGTATCCTATCACGGCAAATTCGATCGTCGGTCTGTTTTCGTAGGTACTTCCGAGAGGATTCTGGGTTCCTTTCATTTTGTTGGTTAAGTCGAGTGATGATTGCTTTACAAGCGAAGTACAGTGAATTTTCCTTCCTTTTCCCTGTTTTTGTTTTGGGTAATTCCTTCGAGGGATTTTTTTCTTGATTTTTTCTTCCATTTATTGTATGGGTTTCTGGATTGTGATCGTTGTGCCTACTGCTTGTTCTTGTTTGGAGCTTTTCCGAGTGTTTTCTTAGCTGGGATTGGGGTTTTGATGAGTGGAGACTGTTTGGTGATTGAGCTGCAGTTCGGTTTTTTTTTATTCTTCCGGTTCAGAGACTGGTCTATAAACAAAGGGTTCGAATTTGGAATGAGCTTGGCATAAAATGTGACAGCTTTTTCACTGTCTTATCTACTGTATTCTGGAGTTAGGCAAACGGCAGTTGTTTGGCTTTTTCACCTTCCTAATCAGTGATCGCACTTCCTCTTTTGCGGGTTTAAGTGGGTTTTGCTTTTGCGTAAGAAAGATCGCAACTTTCGTTGTTTCTTTTAAGCTAATACTTTACAAGTTACCTAAACCCGCCTTCATGTTTCTTGGCAGCTGGTATATCCCCCAACTAAGTGTTAGCTTCCTTTGTGGTTGCCCAAAAGAAACATGGTTTGCATTTGACTAGGACACTTACTGTGTGTCGTGTTGACGACTCTGTTTTAGATACAGGAGCTTACTCAATTATGCTGTTTCACACCCTTCTTCTTTATTCCATTCTGCAGTGGCTTTGTTCATCTAGTGTCAGAATGACATTACTTGTATAGCTTGCTCTTCAGTCAGCCAAAATTTAGAAACATGGGTGGGATTTGTTCAAGGAAGAGAGACCAAGATGTTCTTGGGGGTGGTAGTGCCAGCAGAGTTTCAGGGAGGTATGGTAAAAGTGGGAGTTCGAAATGGCTTCACAACTCATTTGGTAATGTTGCCGTCGCTGACTGCCAACCAGGAGGAAATTGTCCCTCTTTGATGGAACTATGCATACAACAGATATGCAAGGTTTGCTTCATTTCTAAACTCTCATTGGTTACACATCTTGCCTTATGTCCTTGCCAAAAGAGTGTTGAGTATCTTTAGTTCTCTTAATTCTAACAGGACATTGAAAGATATAAGTCCTTTTCTGTTCTTCCAAGGGATATAAGCCAGCAAATATTTAATGAGTTGGTGTTGACTCATAGTCTCAATGACGATTCTCTTGTAGCATTTCTCGATTGCGCTCTGCAGGTAATCCTTTGTAACATACCTTTTCAGAACTAAATTATTCACTTGTGTTGAAGGATGTCTCTAATTGATGTTGGTTATTATATTATCAGGATGTTCATTTAGGTGACTGTCCAGGGGTGAAGGAAAGTTGGATGGATGTAATATCTTCACAAGGATCATCTCTACTTTCCTTGGACCTTTCCTATTCGGAAGTCACAGATGCTGCATTGGTTGGTCTGAAAGATTGTTCAAACCTTCAGGAAATGACTCTAAATTATTGTGAAAGTTTTACTGAGCATGGGCTGAAACACATAAGTGGTAGTACTCTAACTAATTCATGCATTAGTTGTCACTTCAATGAGTTTTTTCTTGCTACGATAACCAATGGACTATCTGCCAGTTTGGGTGGCTAATCTTGATGCTGCTCTTCAGGCCTTAACAGCTTAACTTCTTTGAGTTTCAAAAGGAGTAAGGCTATTACTGCTGAAGGGATGCAAGCCTTCTCCAACTTGGTTAATTTAGAGAAGTTGGACCTGGAGAGATGCTCCCAGATTCATGGTGGACTTGTTCATCTAAAAGGTATGTTGTTAAAATGATGCAGATTCAGCTGAATGTCTTGAGCTGAGAAGGGTCTTTCTGGGGGAATTTTGTTTCATTTACCACTTACACGGACCAAGTGTTGTGACATGATTTTCTTCTTTGTATTCTGTTACAGGATTAACAAAACTGGAGTCTCTTAATGTTAGGTGCTGTAAATGCATTACAGATCTGGACATGAAAGCTCTCACTGGTAAGAATTGACTGGGTTAACTGACTTCATTATTAAGGGAAAGCTGGACCAAGTACTGATCTATTTCAAAAAGTTGGCTGTTCCACACTTAAGATTGAATTGAGATGCTAATTTCGTGTTTTATCTGGCCTTTGATATCTATTCTTAGCTGTTACTTTTTGTTTTCTCTATCTCTCAGGTCTCGCTAATCTGAAGGAACTGCAAATATCCAATTGTAACATAACGGATTTTGGAGTTTCCTTATTAAGAGGTATCCAATTGTTGGACATTAATTAACCTTCTTTTTTGTCTGTCAACCTGGATAGTGGACGCACTCTGCATTTCCCCTGTTTCAGCCACTTCAGCTTCTTGGGCAGCTCCACCTAATACTTGTTGGAGTGCTTTGTTGATGGCTTCCTAGGTTTTACTTTCTTGTATTAAGGTAGTTCTTAAGGGATTCGACCCTGAGACCTCCAGGTTCTAGGCTAGTGGTATTACCACTAGACCAAACCCTTGTTCGTAATGTGTGAAACACTCTTACCCAGTCCGAATGTGACACATAAAATCCTTCAATCAAGTCAGATAGGGATTGTTTGGTAATTCATTGGTCATCCTGTTACCTATATCAGTTTTCACGGCTGATCTCGCCATTACTTTTCATACATACGCCAGGTTTGGAGAAGATTATCATGCTGAACTTGGAAGGTTGTAATGTGACAACTGAATGTTTGGATTCACTTGCAGGTCAGCTTTCTTTTGATTAGTTCATCTACAACGGTCCTTACAAGTTATTGCATCACCCAGTAGCATCATTTACATGTAGAGAGAAAGGATTTGAAGTTGTAGATTGGTGTTTTTGGCTTTTCTTCGCCGGGAAAATATTGACTTCCTCATGAATTCTATGTAGAAGTAGTATTGATCAACCTTTTCCTTTTGCAGCTCTTGTAAACCTTGCATACTTAAATTTAAGCAGATGTGGGCTATCAGATGAGGGATGTGAGAAGTTTTCTGGTGAGTGAACATGTTTTTATCACAAGATCATGTTGAACTGCTCATTTTAGTAGTGTTTCAACTTTCAACATGGAAGGTGATTGTGTGTAACAAACATGCAGAGCTGAAGAAGCTGAAGGTTTTGAGTTTGGCATTCAACAACATTACAGATGCCGTTTTGGTCCATCTAAAAGGTCCTTGCTCCCCTTCTTTCTCTTACTGAATGCATGACTTTGACCTTTAACATGCTGTGATATCTTGTAAAATCCCACCAAATGTCATTGTCTTATTTGGTTCATCATGAAATTAACTAGTCTTATACCGGAAGAGATTTATCTGTTATTTTTCAGGCTTAAAGAACTTAGAGAGCTTAAACCTGGATTCTTGTAAGATTGGTAACGAGGGGCTGGCTAACTTGTCTGGTAGTTATTTTTATCGATGTTTCTTTTTATTTTTTACATTAAAAGCTTGGAGTTGTCTGATACTGAAGTTGTCCCTTATCCTCCTTGTGCCTCTCCTCTCAGAACTTCCCCTCAAAAGCTTGGAGTTGTCTGATACTGAAGTTGGCAGCAGTGGTCTTCGTCATCTTTCAGGTAGGGCTCTCTATACCTTGCCACAACGTAACAATGGAAAAAGCTTTGCAATCAAGTTTAGGGTTGAAAGTATTGGTGTTACCTTCCTGCCGAGTTACACTCATGTTTTTACTATTTCTAGGTTTGAATCAACTGGAGAGCTTAAATCTGTCTTTCACCTTGGTCACCGACGGTGGTCTAAGGAGATTATCTGGGTTGACTTCTCTTAGATCACTCAACCTGGATGCTCGCCAGATTACAGACACTGGTCTTGCCGCTCTTACAAGTAAAGCATTTATTCTACTGGCTTTAATGTGCTTTATGATACACCACTGGCGCGAAGAATTATACTCTAGAACTATTATAGCAATGTGAGACAAGGCAGCATGTTCTGAAAATGTCTAGCTGCAGAAATTATAATGTTCATGTCATTTTCAGTAGCTCCATTATGCCTTTATGGTGCAGGTTTGACCGGTCTGACCCATCTGGACCTATTTGGAGCTCGAATTTCAGATGCTGGAACAAATTATTTGCGACGTATGGATTCTTATCTACTTGCCATTCGTTAAATTCTATCACTTGCCGTTCTCCCACTTCATGCTATTGCTACTTTTCCGAGGAAAATTAAGATCCTTTGTTTCTGCATAATGTTCTTTCTAGTTTCTTACGTTTCAAGGTATTTCTCATTCATGCTTGTAGACTTCAAGAATCTTCAATCCCTGGAAATATGTGGTGGTGGCATAACAGATGCTGGGGTAAAGAACATCAAAGAACTTTCTCACCTAACCGTGTTGAACTTGTCACAGAACAGCAACCTGACAGACAAAACCTTAGAGTTGATCTCTGGTACTTTGTTCTTCTGTAGTCTTGATCTCCATGTTGCAATAACATATATAAGGCGTCCCAAGTAACAAAACTATTGCGGGTTCCCATTTGAAAATGCAGGGTTGGAGGGTTTAGTGTCGCTGAATATTTCAAATTCTCTGATAACCAACAAGGGTCTGCAGCATTTGAAGCCATTGAAGAATTTACACTCCCTAACATTGGAGTCCTGTAAGGTGACTGCCTCCGAGATAAGGAAGCTGCAGGTATCTGCACTCCCCAAGCTGGTAAGCTTTCGACCGGAGTGAAGAAGCAGGATGTGTACCCTTATAGCGAAAGGGGAAGGAACTACTTGTAAATATAGCTTGGTGATGCTCTCAGCTGGTGGTGTTATCCCACATACAGTCTCTTAATAAGTATACCTACCGGCTACCGCCTCATCTGGCCGAAGGAAAGTTTGAAGGCTAGCAATAGGAAGCAAGCCATGCAGAAAGAAAGCCGTCAAAGTATGTAAATATATTGGCTTTTCTCTGCTTGCTCAAACCATCAAATGAAAGTTGTGCATACATAGCAGTTTTATCAGGTGGCATGAAAATGTTTGCCCTAGTTTCTGTGATTATCAGAACATGGTCGGAGCAGAATGGAACAATATAACATCAACCTGCAAAAAGCACAGCTCGAGAACATTCATTCCTATGACATTCAGTATGGCAAAATTGCAAGTCCCTGAAGTTTCTTCTTCAACAGAAAAAGGATCTACAGCTTCATCACCAGGAGGTTGGGAAACGGAGAAAGCTCCAATTTGGAAAATTCCAAAAACAGCAAACTCGCAGAGCTTAAAATTGCTAAGTAGACAGGAGCTGATTAGTTAAGCTTAACCCATGGAGTCAAAACTAGGAGAAAACCAGCCGAGTTGGTCAATAATTTGGTCGAGGCGTTCTTGCTGTCCCTTAGAGTCCCCTATGGCGGTGGTGAATGGATAAACAAAGGTCACCTTTGTAGCCACACATCTGTAAGTCACCACATCCCCTTTCACCAGGAATTCCAAAATGTCCCTTGTCCCAAAGAACCCATCCACCTCTGCCTCCAAATACCGCCCTGCATTGCAACCCCATTCATTCCCCCCAAGATCAAAGAGAGAACTTATTAAGAAACGAAGTCATGATCTTTAGTTTTTACCATAAGGGGTATTTTCAGTGACTCGAATCTTGGTATTCTTCTGGGTCAGCTGGATTGCTTGCTCAAGTTTCTGCCGTTAATGAAGAGATGAAAAGAATGAAAACCCAATTTACTGATGTGGAAATGAAGTAATGTGCTTCATCACGAGATCAAGAGCTAACCTTGACTGCGAATTCCTCTGTGGCGGGAGTACTGTCAGCAGCATCAGGGATAGTCCAGGGGAATGAAAAAGATGATGATTTTGGATTTGTTGATACGCAGCCAGGGTTAGTTGATGGGCAAGGTCTGATCTTTCTGCAGAAGAAGCCCAATGACGTCAAAACAGAGCAAATTAGATGAAGGTTATTGCTAAAAGAACAATGGTGGTCCTACTTCTACTACTGTACCCGTCTAGGAGGCCAACTTGGAGGTTCTTGGACTGGGAGAAGGGAGTGGTGGGAGAGAGGGAATTTGGGTTGCTGTTGCTATTGAGAGATGGAATGGCGTAACAGGGCAACAATGGCGAATTTAAGGTGATGGCGATGGCCAAGGAGAGGAGATGATTGGAGAGTGATGGAATTTTAGGGTTGTCGGCAGCTAAACTTGGTGGGCGGTTTGGGATTGGGATTCTGGAGGTTGAAGAAGAAGATGGCGGATGTGGAAGATGAAGCAGAGCAGCCTGACCAATCATCTCCATTTTTTCTTGCTGCCAAGCGCAAGAGTGCGCCTGAGTCAGATGGCTCCATATTTGTTAGCTTTATCATATAAAGGCTCCCATTTCGCCACGTGTCGTCCATGAGGCGGCTCTCCCACTTCCACATCTTCTCCACTGAACAAAATTCCAACCCTTTTGCCTCTTCCCCTGCCTCCGCCATTGCTAGAGACTGGTCTAAAACAGAGGGTTAATATTTGAAATGGGCTTGCTCTCGAAATTTGACCACTATTTTCACTTTCTTATCTGCTGGATTAGGGAGTTAGGCTTCCTGTTTGGCGAAGTGGGTTTTGATTTTGCGCAAGAAAGATCACAACTTTCGTTGTTTCTCTTTGGGGCTAATACTTTACTAGTTACTTTAATCCGCCATCATCATCAGCTGGTATACAATTGTGGATCAGGTGACCGAGCCTTCCGCAGAAATAGCATAGATCCATGATGCGTTCATATTTGATGCTCACCCAGTTTACACAGATGCTCTTAAGGCGGGACATGATTCTCCGGCAAACATCCCGCCGGCATCCTTCCGGGAGAAACAGGCGAACATGCGCCGCCTGCCCAACACTGGAACAGGGACGCAGCAAATCCGAGGAACCAGAGGGGAATCTTCCCTGCTAACTCTGATAGGCCACCCGGTGACAGGGTCAATGCCTATTGTTGTGTCCAACCCACCTGGGTGCAGCCCTATCACTGGCAGGCCAGAGTTCAGAATGGGTTTACAGAGGAGATGTAGGTTCATCAGCAAGTCAACCGACAATACTGGAAAAGGAGATGGAAGCAGCAGCCAGGGCTATGCAAAGGGGGCTGGACCTAAGGGAGGGAGACAGAAGCAGGGAGAGGAGTGTGGGCCTCATTGAGATGGGCCTCAGCCTGTCTCTTGCGAGCCCGACCTACACGCTCGCGGACCCAACCATCACCCCGGCCACGGTGAATGACCAGGCCCATGTTATCACCACTCAGGCCCAGAATGTGATCCCTATGTCCGAAACAGCGACGGCTCCACAAGCAGAAGAAGGAAGAACGAGGCCCGAGAAGAAGAGGAAACCAGAGCACATGAGCCCAACGTGCATCTCACTGCCAACACAAGACCCTATCTCTAACCTTTCTTTTGACTCTCTTTCTTTTGCCCCAGGAGAAAGCAGAAAGACATACCAGAGGAGGAGCATTATCAGAAGGAAGAGCCTTGCAGATATTACAGCAGATGGGAGCCAATCCGGAGAGGGGGAATCATCCACTCCGAGGGCGCCGGCGGCAGGCCTCAAGCCGCCAAACAATGAATGAGAATTTTAAGCTGGAATTGTAGGGGATTCGCCCAATCCCTTACAAGAAGCTACTGTGGCAGGCTTTGCCGCCAATTTGGCCCCTTCAATTCTCTTCCTCATGGAAACGAAGAAGGATGAATCATTCATGAAAGATAAGAGGAGAGTGATGAGGTTTGACCATGGAGAATATGTTAATCCAGCAAGTGAAGGTAGTGGTTTAGCTGTTTGGTGGAAAGACGATGTTGAAGTGTGTGTGATTGATAGGTGTTAGTCCTTTATGGACATTAGCGTTAGTCAGAATGGAGTGGTTTTCTTTTGTACCTTGGTCCATGCTCCTGCCACGGCGGTAGAGAGAAGGACATTGTGGGATTGACTTATGATCCTGAGGGCGACTCAAGACGAGTCTTGGCTCATTGTTGGTGATCTGAATGTGGCTCTATTCCCTTATGAGAAACAGGGGCGTTGCCCCCTTAGAAATGAGAATGTAGTCCCGTTCAAAAATTTCATCGACAGTAAGGGACTAGTTGATCTTGGGTTCTCCGGGGAGGTTTTTACTTGGTCCAACAACCAGCAGGGTGATGATTTAATCAGGGAAAGGCTCGATAGAGCTCTCTGCACTTCTAGCTGGCTCAGATCTTTTGAAAAAGCAAGGGTCTTCCATGAAGACTTTGTGGAATCTGATCACTGCCCGATCAGAATTGATCTCCACCATTATAAGCCATCAACCTACACCCCTTTTCACTTTGATAAGCGATGGAAGGAGAGTGAAGAGTGCAAGCGGATTATTCTTGATAGATGGGGTTCCGGGGGAACTGTACAAGGGATCTTGAATGATTTCCAAAGAAACATACTGGCCTGGGCAAAACTGGACAGGATATATAAACTGAAGAGAGAAAAAGAATTAAGACAGAGATTACAAGAACTCCAAGGTCCTGTCAGGACCCAGGCAATGGTCGAGGAGGAAAGTAGTCTGCTTCGGGAGCTTGACAAGTGGTGGACCTCGGAAGAATCCTTCTGGGCTCAGAGGTCAAGAAATGGATGGCTTCGGGAAGGGGACCAGAACACTGGTTTCTTCCATGCTAGCACTATCCGAAGAAAGCACAGGAACAGAATTCTTAAATTAAGAGATGCATATGGAAACTGGATTGATAAACCCGATGAGTTGGATGATCACGTCAACGGCTTCTATAGATATCTGTTTGATAGTAGAAGAGGGAATTTTGACCAGTCACTGTTGACAGGGTTCCCTGTTTTGGTTACAGAAGAAGTCAACAGCCTCCTATCTGCTCAGATCACAAAGGAGGAAGTTCGCAAAGCTGTATTCCAACTCGGGGCAAACAAGGCCTCGGGCCCCGATGGATTCCCAGGCCACTTTTTTAGAACATACTGGTCCTGCCTCGGGGATACTTTCTGCAAAGAGGTCATCGAGTTTTTCAGGACAGGAATCATGACAGAGGGCTGGAATGATACTTTCATCACTCTGATTCCTAAGGTTGACCAACCCGAGATGATTGGCCAATTTAGACCAATCAGCTGCTGCAATTTTCGTTACAAAGTCATCATGAAGATTATGACCATTAGACTGCAACCATGCTGCCGAACCTGGTAAATGAGCTTCAATCTGCTTTCACAGGGGGAAGACAAATCCAAGACAACATTATTATTGTCCATGAAGTCTTAAACCAGTTTAAGAAGAACAAAACGAAAAAAATCAAAGAAATGATGTTGAAGCTTGACATGAGGAAGGCCTACGATCTGGTGGAATGGGATTTCCTCATTAACCTCCTCAAAGCTTATGGTTTCAGTGATACCTGGTGCGGATGGGTCCGGGCCTGTATCTCGACAGTGAAGTTCAGGCTTCTGTTCAATGGAGCACCTTCGACCGAGTTCCTTCCCTCGCGAGGCATCCGTCAGGGGGACCCCCTGTCCCCTCTCCTCTTCATCTTGATGTCTAATGCACTATCATTCATGATTGAAAAGGCTACTCAAAGACAGATCATCAAGGGTATCAAACTTAACAGAGAATGCCCTGTTCTTACTCACTGCCTCTTCGCGGATGACACCGTTATCTTTGGAAAAGCGTCAGTAAGGGAAGCAGAAAATATTTTAAGCATTCTCAACGACTATGGATCGATCACGGGACATGAGGTCAACAGGGAAAAATCCTCCATGTTCTTCAGCGCCAATGTCCCCTCTGATGAACATGAGCTCATTATCCAAAGCTCTGGTTTTACGGCGGACCACAGCCACTCCAAATATCTTGGAGTCCCCACTGAATGGGGTCGATCCAAGAAGGACTCCAAATATCTTGGAGTCCCCACTGAATGGGGTCGATCCAAGAAGGAAACTTTCCAGTTCCTCCTGCAGCGAATGGAAGCCAGAGGGGAGTCGTGGAAGAGTCTCCTTCTTCCCCTGGTGGCAAAGAGGTGCTCCTTAGGGCAGTGTTCCAAGCGGTACCATCCTTCATTATGTGCCTTTTCTTGCTCCCACGCTCATCAACGAAGAGGATGGATTCCATGCTCAAGAACTTCTTCTGGAGCGGATCACTGTCAAAGAAAACTATCCACTGGAGAGCAGGCCACGTGCTGTATGCCCCAAAGGATGAAGGAGGGCTCGGCTTCCGCCCCTTCCACACCGTCAATCTTGCATTGCTGGCAAAGCAGGCATGGAGAGCCATCACCAACCCTGACACCTTGTGGGTGAGGGTCTTGAAAAGCATCTATTTTCCCAAGTCTGACTTCTTATCCGCAAAAAAAGGTGGAAAGGCATCCTGGATCTGGTCCAGCCTTTGGGAGGCTAAGAAATGGATGAAACAGGGAATCATTAGGGCGATTGGTAATGGTAAATCGACAAGGATTTTCCAAGACCCGTGGAGATTTGATCGACCGGGTCAATTGCTCGAGTTTGACTGGCCTGATGAGTCTACTGTGGATCAATGGATAGATGGGATTAACAGAGCCTGGAGATTCGACCTCCTTGCAGATTATCTTAGCCCACTGGATCTCAAACAGGTGGCTGCCACCCCCATTGGCCCTGAATCACTAGAGGACATTTGGGCTAGGAGATTCACGGACAGTGGAGAGTTCACTGTGAAGTCAGCCTACCACCTCTTCCACAACTTGTTTCGACTGGAACAGGCTAACCTTTCAACAGACACATCTAGCAAAGAAAGATGGAAGTGGCTATGGAGCCTCTCCCTGCCTCCCAAACTGAAGTTCTTTGTGTGGAAATGCACAAGAGGGACCCTGGCAACGAAGGAAAATCTCTTCTCTCGAAGCTGTTCTGTGACAAAGGCTTGCCCCATTTGTGCGAAAGCTACAGTATCGGTCCATCACACCCTCTTCTCCTGCCCTCACGCGGCAGCTGGATGGCTCCAGGACTGGCCCTCGCTGGTCATGCCCCCCTTGAGTACCCCTATCCTGGATTGGCTCTTCTCACTTCAGACCAGGTATTCCATTGGCCTAGTCCAAAAGGTTATCTTCCTTATGTGGCAGACGTGGAAGACGAGAAACGAGTTCATATTCAGGGGCAAGATCCCTTGGCCACCGTTCACCAGTTCTAGGGTTGTTCTTGAGTCGCAGCAATGGGACGCGTTCCCTGCCAGAACACCATCTTCATCCCCACCCATTCAGTTAGCCCCACCCCCAGATCATCCTACTCCACCGCCAAGTATTCATGAGTTTGAAATACACTGTGATGGTTCTTTCTTTGAAGCATCTCATGAGGCGGCTTATGGCGTCGTTATCACGAATGCCCATGGACAAGTATGTGACGGGGTAGCTGAACCCCTGCATTGTTTTTCACCCATTGAAGCAGAAGCGAAAGCTTTGTGGAAAGGAACTCTCCTGGCCACCATCCTCCACGGTCCTTGCTTGGTCCGATCGGACTGTCTCACCCTCATCAATGCTGTGCAAGGGCACCAGAAGCCTTGGCCATGGCGAGCAGCAGCGTGGATTGGATGCATCAAGAAAGCGCTCGATGATCACCCCTGGATCAAGCTCTCCCACATCAAACGGGCGGACAACGCGAAAGCGAATTGGGTGGCTAGATCAAGAGCAAAAAATGTACTTCCCATACACTGAGTCCAGGTCCTTGATGTTATCTCTCATCTTCTATAGTCAGCTGGCTTCAGCCGCATTTAATGGAAAAGCAATGCCTTTTGTCAAAAAATCATCAGCTGGTATATTCGCAACTAGGTTTTAGCTTCTTTTGTTGGGAAAATGCTAGTTTCTGCGGTTATTGGCGCGTCAGAATGGAACAAGCATCAACCTAGATAGGACAGAGCTCAAGAACAAGAACCATCATTCCTATAACATTTCCAGTATAGCAAAAATTCCAAGTTTGTCCCTCAAAATTCCTTCTAACACTGACCAAGGTTCTACTACAGCTTCTTCTTAACCAGATTGGGAAACAGAGATTTGCAAATTTGGGACTATATAACTATGGAGATTACATACAGAACAAATATCCTAGTATTCTACAAACATAGATGACTTTCAGACTATTAAGGACACCTTACGAAACAACAAGGGCAAAGGTAAGCGAAACACCGCTTATTTGGATGACAACTTTGAATGAATAACGAATAGAACACCCATTGTTCCTGATGGTTAGACTAAATGAACAAGTTGTGAGGCTATGCAAAGTGAGGGAGCTAAAAACTGCAAACAACTTGCCAGCTTCTTTTCCTCGTGCCGCGAGGTTGTATTCAGAATGAGAGCCTATCTTCTACAAAGTTGAAATCTGCACACAACAAAATCCCCTATAATTGTTGTCACTTCTTCCCTAACCAAGTCCAAAGGTCTAATTAAACACACCCTGCAAGGAGGAAATGGTTTTTAGACACTGCATAGAGATTGCATTGTAGAGAGCGGGTGAGAGAGATAATAACCGATACCTTAGTACACAAGTAACTAATGGATCCTGTCAGAAGTTTTGAGAACATGATCACGAGACCTCCAAGGCATGATAGATCTTCGAAACCCTACGTCTTAGCAACGGCTCTAAACGGAACGAGTACACATGACTCTGCCACTTCTTGGCTTCATTCATATCATTCCACGCCTGTATTATCTCATCAATCTTGAACCCCAATCCTGAAAACCCAAACAGAAAAAAAGTTGAGCAAAACATCAGAAAGACCGTTGCTTTTCACATTGAGCAATTCATAACCAACTAGTTTATAGAACATACCATCCATTGAACTATCATTCGAGATGTGATTCTTCATCATCACACCAATATCAGTAGCCGAAGCTCCAGCCAGCTGGAACTTCTCGAGTGCAACTTCCAAGCACTCTTGCCAAACTGGGATCCCCAATCTGTACTCCATCATGGACCTCTCGTAGAGAATGGTGCCACGTAGGAGATTCATCTGTGACCTCAGATCCTTAATCCGTACAGCAGCATCTTCTGGCGATGTGTCTTTGAACAGCTCATCCAAAATTGTGCCTTGTAGCACAGGCTTAATCTTGGTTCTGTCCGTGAGATGGGTAATCCGTTGAGATTGCGCAGCTTCCCACATATCCATCCCTTTATCCACATTTCCCTCAGCACTGTTATACAGTTCTATGACCTCGGTATAAGACCAATTTGACAAGTCAACTTTGCAGCTGAGGGCATAGTACCAAGTGAGCCTTGCCCTCTCAAACTGCTGCTGCCCTAAAGCCAGAAGACCCTCGTAAAAGTCTGGTTTGATCCTCAGTGCTTCAGCATACCTCTCCCCCGCCTCCAAGTACTCCTTCTTTGTCCATTCGAATGCCACAATGATTCCCTCAAGCATTGCCTCTCGAGAGGCATCATCTTTGAACTCTATCTTCTTCCTAGCTCTCGACATGTGAACATTCCCCCAGTTGAACAACGCTAAAGCCGCCATCTCCTGGAAATTCTCAGCTGCTGTGTTGAACAACCCCTGTGCTTCCTCACTAGTCACAGTCTCCTCAATAGCCTCCGAATAGACCTTTATACCGAGGTCATTGAGCCCGAAATAGGAGTCTGTATCGAGTGCCACATGGTCTTTAAACAGCTTAGCGAACTCTACAATCCATTCATCGATGTAGCGCATCCCCTTCTTGACCTCTCTATCTCTCTCCATGTTCCATGTCTTGGTGTCAACTCTCTTCATTCCACCATGCTTGAGTCTTTCCACAATCGGGTCTTGTTGAGGATTGATCTCCACCAGATACAGCCTGAACGAGCCACCTTGTGGTGATGAACATGCTTCAGCTAACCGGAGCTCTTCATCAGTAGTTATGGTAATCAAGTCTCCTTCTTGATCCTTGTATTTGATGAGGACTGGGCCAGAACCAGGAAACCGGTCACACACCACTTCCTTCAGCTCCAGAAGACTACAGTTCACAGGAACTTGAGCCATTCTTATATCCTCTCTCATCACCAATTTCATGCTCCTCATGGGTCTATGCTCTACCACAACCAAAGCTTCTTCATTCCCATCCTCAGACTTCTTTTCATCACTCTTCCCGTTCTTCTTCTTCCTCGGTGTCCTCTCTTTAGGGGCTTTTGGAATTGGCTCAGCATAGTCAGCAGGCAACTCGATCGATGTATCATTAACCTTGAGCCCTCTCTCCTCCAACGACTTCTTCACCCTCTCCCAAACCTCGAACGCCATCACATTTGCAGGCTCCATCTTCAACACTGTCCCAACATCTCTCAAGGCCAAGTCGAGGCGATTCAATGCCTCGTAGCACCTCGCCCTCTTGAGCAACGCCTTGCCATACTTCGGTGTGACCTCCAAAGCCAGGTTACACTCGTCTATCGCTCTAGGGTACTGGCTTACCCCCATCTGCATGTAGCAGGCTGCCATGTTGCTCCTCAGGTGAGATACATCGATGTGGGTTTTCGGAAGCAGTTTGATGGCCTTCTCGTACTTCTGAAGAGCTCCATCGTGGTCTCTCCTCTGGAAGAGCTTGTTGCCTTCATTTTTGAGCTCATGGGAGAGGGAAATGAAGACTTCTTCATCTTTGTCCACTGTGGGGGACTTAGGGCTACTGATTCCTCTTGCTTTGCCGTTCTGTTGCTGCTGCTGCTGCTGCTTCTGCTGTTGTTGCTTTCTCATTGCAATCAAGGTTATCCACAGTGCTAGAGACCAGAATCCCACACTAATGGATAGATAGAACTTTATAGTATCCAGAACTTCGGAGCTTAGTAATACTACTACTACAGAAACATATCATGAATGAATTCAAGAACCTAGGTTTCCCGTACGGGTCAAAAAGCCACCCAACTTAACACAATTTCTCCACCACCCAACTCCCAAAATCTCAACTTTTCCCTTCAAATCTCAAAAGGGTTCCTTCCTCTCCAAACCAGGATTTGTTGGTCGCTTGTGCGAACGAAATTAACAAATCCCAATTCGGAGAAACAGAGGAAATGAAGGAATTCGCTTCTGAAATGGGGGTTTCAGAGAAAGCAAAAGCAAAGATGGAAACAATCTACTGCAGCGAATTGCGTGAACCGGAAGGAAAAGGAAGGATCTTTGAGAAGATAACTTATCTGGGAAATGAATGAAATAGAGGAAAAGTTCCTCGCTTGAGCTTCAATTTTCCTGGGAAACAAAAAGAAAATGGGGGAAAAGGAGAAACCGGCCTCTGTTTTTCACGCGTATTTCAAGGCTTAACGTGAAAGCCACAGAAATGGCAGTTGATAATCCAATGTAGCTTTGTTTGATATGTGTTCTTGGTTTTTCTTTTTCAATTTAGAAATCTCTCGAGGAAAGCTGAGTGGGACCCATGTTCTTGTGCGGGAGATTCCAAATGTCTTGGGGGAAGATTTCAATTGACTCCTTGAAATTGTTTAATTAATCAATTTGGTGGGGGTTTGTACTTTTGTATGTATTTGTGGTAGCATCATGAAGCTAATAGGAGTTAATGATGGTATTAATTAGTAGTTAATTATGTCTATGAGAAAACATCAAAACATGTAAGTCTAATTACATAAATATTGACGTTGAGTTGAACAAAAGAAGTTTACATCGAATTGATGAAGACACTATAATGGATATTTGTGGGGATAATGTTACAATACTTGCTTATTAATTAATGATGATATAATGGATCTTAAGTTCCACGTTGCGTTTCTTTATATGGGGACTGGGGAGTCACTTCGGTTTATGAAAGTTTTTTTCTTTAAATTGTAAAGAGTGCGTTTAATTAAAGTGTATCAGTCTATCTGGTTGCTACTTGCTAGCAGGATACAAGTCTAATTATGAAAACACACGGAGTCAAGGTGGTAATACAATGTAAATAAGCGGTAAACAGAAAAATACCTCGTATTTATGTTGACTTATAATTCGACGTAACGTATAAAAACTAATTTCTCATTCTTATTGTAATATGGATTTCAAATATGCTAGACTTGTCCCAAATTTTCAGGTGGAAAAATGCTCTTCGCAAATTATCTTCCTTGAGCACAATGTGTTTGTGGATAATGAGATATGTGTGGGACAACAATCAATTTGGACCGTAAGCCCAAAAATGAAAATCCAAAATAAATTAGTGATTGATTTAATAAAAAGCACAAATTTGTTGCGTATTTTGGTAAAATCACGAAGGTGTGGGAGCGGAAGCAGGCAGAGCTCGGAAAGTGGGAAAGTAACGGACTTTTGGGGTGGGACTGGGTTCCCGCCACGTCCAACTGCCAAATGCCACCCTAAAAAGGATAACAAAGGCCCGTTTGCCGCTGTCCCAAGGCAACTCCCAACTAGAGAAAAGTAGGAAACAACAAGTGCACTTGAAAGCAAAGTGTTATCATTGAGGGAAACATTATTTTAGGGTGTATAGTATCACAGTTAGAGGCAGTGGTTCCGTTTCGTTTAATCGAATTGAAATCGGTAGAAATCGAAACTCAAATATACTATTGGCCAAACCCAAAATCGACGTTTTATTTATTTATTTTCGGTTATAATAAACAGGACATAATTCGAATCGTTAATTGTATTGTTCTTTGCCTCTTGGTAATTTTTGGTTTTTTATCGATTCATTAACGAATTTTCGATTTTAACCAAAATCGTTAAGGTCTTATAAGTTCTTAATCGTTAAGGTACACCGATAGACAATAAGGTTGTCGAACCGGTTGAACCACCACCCATCACTATAGTTACTAGTTTTGAAGTAGTATTAAGTAAGCTGACAAACAACTCTTTAAGATCGACTTGAGATATAGTATTATGGACATCTAACCTTCAATTGCGGCCCAACAACAACATTTGGGCATCTAGGTACTCTTTTGGGCCCATGGTAGTCTGAGTTAGTAGACTGGGCTGCATACTGAAGTTAAGGTCCATGTACAGGTCATCAGTTCTGACGTGTCGCCAACCCATTGGCCGATTAGCAACAACCCGTGTCACCGTCGCCGCATCGGTATTATCCTACAAGCCGGCAGAGCTTCTCGATCTCAGGCAGCTCTCCCCGGGCAACAAAACCCCAGAAGCTTCAAAATTTAGGATAGCAAATTTCTCGTAGCCGTCTTTCTTCAGGGATCTTCTTCATCTTCGTGGGATTAAGCGAAGCCGAAGAACGATGAGATCTTTGTGGTTGCTCCTTGTTGTAGGCGCTGTTTCCAGCTGCGTTTTAGCTGACCAGATCCTCCCAGCTCACGTAGGTAAATCATCCATTCGAACGATTTGGAGAACCATGTTGATTCGCTTTTGAGTGATTTGAAAGTCCTGTTTTTTTCGATTTTCCCAGTCCAAGTTCATCTTTGTTGAGTAGTGGGTACTAGAGAAATCTCTGAATGTTTCTTACTCCGTGCGCCAGATTTGATCGAAATCTGTCCGTTTCAGTTTGAGGGTGCTTATGGGTTGTAATCTTAGTTGCTGCCTGGGTGGATTAGGTGATGATTTGTGTTTGATACTGGTTGCTTGGTTTAGTAACTGATGATTTTGGGACCTGTCATGAAAATGCGAACATTTCCCCCATTGCGCTATTGCTAATGATCTCACAAGCTGCAATTTTGCATCCTTTTTGAAACAGTTTTGCGTTATCTTTATATCTGGAGTTTATCTTAGTTAACTACATGGTGGCAGGTGGTTCGTTCAGCCGCAGCTCTCGCGAGCCCAAGTACAAGATGGAGTTCCATCCTGAAGAAGCCCCCTTTCATCCTGTGAGTAAGGCGTAGTTGCATTGGCGTTATGCTATCTTTTGTCTACATGTTAGGATCTGAAAGTTGGTGGATGTCTAATTTGTCGAAACCGACAACGGCATTACAGGATGAGGATCAAGAATTTGTTGTTATGCCTGATACAAATGGGCGCAGTTATGTATGTTACTTGCCTAAGATAGAGAAAGCCAAGAGTGGGAAGCCAATCAATCAGGTTAACATAAGCAGCATGATCGTGGAAACTGAGAAACGGCTTAAATTGAAGACTCCAGATGAGCTACTTGAAGTGTTCAAAGGCAAATGTCTTGTCAGAGTTAGTATTTGCTTTCCCAGTTCCAACGAAACGTCATTTTGCATTTCTTGTATGCTTTGCTCCTGATACTGTGCCATACTTGCAGCAAGAGGGTTGGTGGACTTATGAACTCTGCCACGAGCAAAAGTTAAGGCAGTTTCATGTGGAAGATGAGAAGGTAAGAAATTTGGAAATTTTAAGTTTTGCTGATATCTTAGTTCCTAGAAGAATGTATTTGGCTTACATGTACAATTCCCTCATTGCAGGTGGTTCAGGAATTTGTTCTGGGTGTTTATGATGAAGAGGCCACAGCTGCATTCAACCAGAACTTAAAAGACGTTTCTACCTTGAAGGATCCTCGGTCTAAAGATGCATCTCAAAGGTATCCCAATGAGCTATCAAATGAATTAAAGCAAAAGGAAACTTTGTAGAAAGGTTTCCTTACGTACCATCAATGTTATTTGTGTAGGTACCATGCTCATCAATATACAAATGGAACTCTCTGTGATCTCACCAATCAGCCACGAGAAACTGAAGTAACGATTTGGAGTGAACTGTCTGATAGCTTCCCTTTTCCTTTTTCCTTCTATTTACACCTCATTTTCTTGTTGGACAGGTGAGATTTGTATGTTCCGAGCCAAGAGCTATGATTAGTTCTATCACAGAGCTATCCACTTGCAAGTACGCCCTGACAGTACAATCTCCGATGCTTTGCAAGCATCCGTAAGTCACACCCTCTTGATTCAAATTCGAATGCTTTCCCTCTTTTTAGCTGCTTAAACTTTTTATTCTACTGTGACTTTGCAGACTGTTCCAAGAAGAGAGACCAGTGTGGCACACCATCAACTGCAATGCCCTGCCAAAGACTTACAAGGAAAGCAAAGTCGAGAAAGAGTCAACCGATGAGGATAAACAAATCTTCATGGTCACGGAGGTTGAGAGTCCAACCAATGAGCAGTCCTAGGAGTGAATTGAACACTTGGAGGAGGGGGCTTTTCTAGTTTGAACTCACACTCATGCCTCTCTTCCTTGACGTCGTCCAAGTTAAGGGTGGCAATTGACGTAGTTAAGTGCATGTAAATCATAGAAGATGAATCTATGCTCAGATAACGGGATCTTGTAAATGAATAGATTAAAGAGAAGTTCCTTCGCTACAAACTTCACTTCTGGATTCTGGTGAGTTGGAAAAGTTGGGTCTGAAACTTGCTTTCTAAGGCTTTTTCCTTCTTTTTCTTCAGGGTTGTGGAGCCAGTTAATCAATGATCATTGAGAGCAATTATATGAAAGATATTGAGTTTAACAGTTAGCACTCCTTTGCTATTCCCAGGCTGAGGATTTTCAGCTAACTGCTACACCTTGAAGAGGGGAAAAGATTATATTATATATTTTGTGCTCAAATAGGTCACTCATGACCATTCCAAAAGGATGTCTAAAGAAGGTGATCTGGAACTAAAATAAAACATTGTGTAACTAATTTCCATCACCAAAAAAGAAAAACATTCCTAGATAGAAGCTACAATTGTCAAAAGATGAAAAGCGATAAACTATAGTTATCAGCTATTAACACTAATAATTTACAGAGAGACTAGTTCCTTATTTCCTTCTCCTGGTGGCCTCGACCAGAAGTTGAAGCACTTCCGCTGCTACTACCAGTTGAATCGAGTAATGCCAAGTACTCGTCAATGGCTTCCCCTTCTCTTGTTACATCAATATCATAGTCAGATAAAGCGTCTCTCCTTGCTAATTCATTTGCTATCTCATCCTCCATTTCCACATCTCGCGGTTCAGAGAAACTTGCATCAGCTGGTGGTTCAGCATTTGCGGCAGCACCATCAGCAGCAACAGCCTGAGCATGAGCAGCAGCAGCCTGAAGAGCAGCAGCGGGATCTGGAAGTGGCCCTTGTTGGAGAAGCCGCCGCATTATTGTCTCCGTAGTGCCACCAGCTTGGACCGCTGCAGCTACAGCTGGCATGTCGAATCCCATGGATGCAATCAGTTGGATTTTAGAGTCCGTGTCTTGCTTCTGTCTTTTGGCTTTCCTTGTTTCAATGTCGTTCTGAAAACTCAAATCAAGGTAATAACAATGAGTGGAAGAGCTTGAAAACGTGACCGGAAGATACACCTTGAAGATACATCTAAAAACTTACCTGGATGGTAGCATTAGTTTCTGGATTTGTCAAATCATCCAATGCCTTCTGAGTATCATTCTCGTTTCTTCGTAGTGCTTCAGCAGCAAGTTGCTTCTCAAACCTGATACATTTGACAAGTTTTCACCTCAATATGCTTATGCTATACAAGTGGCATCGAGAGTCAACAATAAAAACTTGGTAGTGGATGCTTACCCTATGGAGACCAATCCTGTCAATAGTTGGATATCCACAGCTTTCTTCAAGGGTGTAACACCATACTTTTTTTGCTCCCTACGTCCAACGCTGACCAGTCAGAATAAATGACAGATGAAAATTGCAATAAGAACAAGCAACCTGATTGCCACTCACAATATTTCTGCTTGTCGCTTAAGGTCTTCTTGTCGTTTCAGTGCTTTCCGCGCCTTTTCCTCAACTAGAAAATCAACAGCACGTTCAGCATCTTGATTGTTGATTCTCAATGCTCTCTTTGCTTCGTTTTCTTCGAAACCCATCCCCAAAACAACTGACAAGACTTCATCTGACACTTGTAGCTACAATGGAGAAAGTCACATATCATCAAATGATACCGAGTACTCGTTGGGAGGATATACAGAGAGCTCTATTTTCATGCTTACCCTTTTGAATTTGGTCTGTGCAGATATCAAGTACCTCCTAGATTTCTCAAGCTGGCCACTATGATATGCCACCACTGCTTCGAGTAGTTCCAATCTCAAATATCTGAACGTAATGATAAAAAGGAGTATAACCAATGAGCACCAGATATCCACCAACTCTCTAGTTTTTGGGTAGCTCTTAATGAAGATTTTTCAGAATACTTACACTGCAAGCTCCGAAGAGTTTCCTGCTTGAAGTAGTTTGAGACGAGAGGCATCCTTGCCATGAGCACGTTCGAATCCATCTCTTGCCTTATCAAGACGTACTCCAGCAACAGAGAGACATGCAATGTCTTTCAGCATGAAATAGCACCACACCATGTCCATTTGCAGCATTGCAATATTATCAACACGCTGGAAGCAAGTAAAAGAAGATTTAGAAGAAAAAAAACACACAGGGTTTAGCCAAAAAGTTATGAAAAGTAATTATATGAAGCTATTTAAAACGGCCACGTACTTCAACAGTCTTTGGATCGCCAAGAGAGAATGATTCCTGCAAAACACAAAACAAAACAAACAACCAGCAATGAATCCTCCCAATTATGGGAAACTCGTAACCAAAAATAACCAAAAAGCTTGAATAGGCATGCAAATCGTCCCGCTATGTTGAGAAAGAGCCAACCAACCTCTGCCATATTCAGTACTTCCAGAGCATCTCTGAACTTTCCCTTTTTCATTAGAACCTTGCCATTTGTGTGGAGCATCAAACCCATCATCAGTGCCCTGCCAATCCATATTTCAAAGTTTCAATCAGAAAGGGCATAAATTAACAGCACACTATAGACACAACAGAAAAAAGGTGCGAACTTTCACAAGAACTGTCTAGTCAAGAATCATTACTGTCTATCGGACTCGGATAAGTGCAGTTTGTTCCCAAGTTGGTCTTCGATTTCTAGATTGAAGTCCTCGAGCGGCAATGCACCATCTGCGTGTCTTGTGGACAATGCAGTTACAGCTGCCCTGAAAAGTTCACAGCAAGAAACCCATAAAATTGGTTATCAATCCGTCATAATTGAGCTCCAAAACAAACTGGCATTCGTCCCTTAAACCCTGCTCATACAAGCTTAGTCGAAGGAATTCAAACCGAAAACTGGAATCATACAGTTGTCCATATATCCTCTCAAGGCAAACAGCAATTCAAGGATTCTCAAAAGACATGCAAATCAATACCACTGTTCCTTCTCCTAATCAGACAACTTATGATTCCTACAAAACAAACCATTCTTTTTCATGACCATCACACAATCAAACAAAGGAATATAAAAACAATTGATCCATGACAAGCAAACAACATTATCGGACAAATCAAAACAAAGGAACAAGACAATAAAAGAGAGAACGGTACTCACTTTACGCGAGCCAGCCTCTGATTGAGCTCCTCCTCGTCCTTCAACGATTTCCCTTCGTCGACGGCGACCCGGCTGGCCAGAATCTTCGAGTTGGCCCTGATGCCCAACTGCGAGAGCTTCTCCGTGCAGTCGCCGTCTTTCAGCATCTTGCCGGCGCATATCAGATTGATTGAGGCAGGGGAAACGTTTGATCGCTTGGCGACTTCTTCCCTCAACGTGGGCACCGTCCAATTCTCCAAGTCGACCTCATCCAGAGCCCCCGACCATGTCCCTGCAACTCTCAGCTTCACCATTGTTGCTCGAAATCGGAACCCAGACGAGAAGTTATCGGGGGGTTTCAGTAACTGACTCGTAAACTGATCGTCGTCGAAGTCTCCTGCTTTTGCTCTCTTTTCCTTCCTTGCTCGTTAATCCATTAGTGGGTCTTCCATTTTATAAGGTTTTCTTCCTCCGAATTCTAAAAGGATTATGAAAGACTTTGGGCCCTGGGAAGTGGAGTCTGAATACGACTGGAAAGGGCAAGAACTAATTCACAATTCAGTACTCCATCTTAAATGTTATTATTTTTTCACTCCTTGTTTATGTTCTTTTAACACACCACATATGAAAATTTTATAAAATTGATGTTTTATATAGCAATTTTGAGGAATTATGCTGGAATTTTCAAATAAATTAATTCATTAATGAATATCAATGGCATGGCTATCCTAATTAGCAATTAGTATACACTAGCTTTTTACCCGGCCCGTTGGCCGGTGAGTTTCATTTTATCATTTATATTAATCAATTTATCTATATGTTTAAATTATTTTGGATCTTCTACATTTTTTACATTTGCATTCATGCGTGAGTATGCGGTGCGTCTGTAAATTAAAAATTCTCAATGCTTAGCACGTTCACTTATGATGTTTCAATTCTCTTATCATAAATCATGTCACAAAGATATATCACGATACTCAAATGCGTGAGTATGTGGTGCGTCTATAAATTAAAACCACGATACTAAAAAAAAAATTATCTTATACAATATATGTCATTCAATGAATCTCGAGTTTAAACAAACTCTCAACCAATGATGTTGCTCAGATGACGACAACTTAGTTAGAATGTTTTTATAAAGGTACTTCAATATTAGGTAAATTTGGTCATCCCAATTGAAAGTTTATTGTCTTCTTGTAAGATCATATTTGTCGATCAATACACTCAATTTAATATCTTATACAATATGTACCAATTGTTAATTCCTGAAGTTTAATTTAGACTCACTCTCAACCAATGATCGTTGTTTAGATGTTGGTTTAGAATCTCGGTCCAAGATACTCACACACTGTTGAGGGTTCTAATCTTAACATGGTCCATTGGTGTATAATTTTCTAACTTATCAAATATGCATTTGCTTAAACTTATACTAATACCTTCATTTTGTTGGTGTAATGCCACATCTATTGTCAATATCTAAGCATGATACTATACTCTAAGTAAGAACACGCTATCTGGACCACGAATTAACCGGATTTGTGGGCATGATACTATACCCTAATTCTTGATGAGTGAACCATATGTCTTAGTTATCTAAATCATAGAGCTTAACCCCTAAGATTGTGCATGTAATATGTTGCATATATTTTGACGAAGCATGACCGTTGATTTTTGTTTAGAATTAAATTGATCTTAGGGTATGAGATTTATAAATTTAAGACCTAGATTTTAATCTTGAAGGGTTTGAGAATAATACCATATGCCAAGCTCCAGTCAATTCAAGGTCTAGACATCATTTTCTTACTCAAAGTATGTCATAATATACATATATAAATATAAAGAGTTTAATGTATTTTTAAGTGTAATTAACACCTTTGTTTGACCGAAATATGTAAACTATTAGAAAAAATAAGGGGAAATATGAACAAATATAAGAGAAAATAAGGTATGGAAGCATGCATTATAAGAGAGAAGAAAAGTTGTTTTTCTTTACCGCCTTCATTTGTACAATCAAGTACTATATTCTGAATTCGTCAAGTTTCTATCTAAATGAAAAACAACTTTTGGAGCATTTTGCTATTTAATACTTGTTTTCATTAATAGATACAAACATTAGAAAAAGTTAGTGTTTGATAACCAAAACATAAAATTATATAGTTGGTTTTTCAAATTCAATTGATTATTAAATGTTGATTATCTAAACTTCACTTATTAAGTTCTAATAAAAATTAAAATTAAAATTAATTGATCAGATTTAATCAAATATATTTGTTAAAAGATTACAATATATGTCACTCTCCAAACATACGTATACTGCTGCTATACATATATATTGCAAAAAACAATTATTGAATAAAAAAATTATATTAAAAGAAGATATAGATAGCTACATAAATGATCATTAAAATAAAAAGGAAATATTAAAAGAAGATAGATATAGCTACATTAATTTATCATTAACTAACTTTTTTGTTGTAAAAAAAGTGTACACCATGGCACCTTGTAAATTCTCCAAATGCTTATGTGGCAACAAACTACTTTTGAATTGCCATAATATTATGTATGGATTTGTGTCTCTCCACTAGCTTCACTCAAATCTCATCCACTCTTATTCTACTCTAAAATTACTCTTATTTCATTTAAGTGTACGACTCTCTCTTCGTTCGATATAGAAAGAAGTTTTAGTTTTATTATCACTCCATTTGTTCTACACTCTTCGTCTTCGTGTTCTTTCTCTGTTCGTTTTAGTTTTCTTTAATTTATCTGTCTATGGAGCTCACGATGAGGATGGTTTAACGAGGAGATAATCAAATTTTGAAAGAATCTTTCAATTAGATCAAAACTTTCACTTGCATTTTTATAGGAGGACATGAGAGAACTTGATATTTCATAACACAAAAATATGTTCCAAACATTATTAAGGAATTCAATTATATTCATCTATGAAGAATTTCAACGTGACATCGCAAACAAAGAATTCATATGAAATAATATTTATTTTTAAAGAAAATAAATTCTCGATTCATTTTTGTCTCAAATAGGAGGGAGGATCAGGTGACTGGGGGGGGGGGGGGGGGTGCTTAGTCACTTGACTAAGTCTCTCCCAGTCCTTAGATCTGGACACAACAATCTGACGGTTAAAAAGTGGGAAGGGCTATTTAATTAATGACAGGGGTAGTTTGGGTATTATGAAAACTTACGAAGTATACAAACCAGACTTACAATCAGTACAAACCATACAAACAGTACAAACTACAACGACAAAACATACACACATATTTACAAACATTACAAACGTATGGACTATACAAACTAGACCGACAAACAATACAAAAAGGAAAAAACAATCGGGTTGACTTTGGAGACTCCATCCCTATATAGAGGGCTCCGCCCCAAAGTCAACCCGGTTGTTTTTTCGACATACAAACATAACGAACACGATGGACAAAAATGACAAACTAGACCGACAATCCATATAAACTGGAAAAAACACCCGAGTTGACTTTGGAGGCTCCATCCCTATATAGAGGAGTTCCATCCAAAAGTTAACCAGGGTGTTTTTTGGACATAAAAAAACATTACAAACATGGTTGACAAAAATGATAAACATGATGCACAAAAATAACAAAACTTACAAACATTACAAAAGAAACCGACAAATATTACAAAATAAACCGACAAACAGCAAAAGCATACTAACCGTAAAAAATGTCACTAAACATTACAAACAAGAATGATAAACAATACAAACCGAATCTATACAAACATTATAGATTAGGTCAATAAACATCACAAATTCAGCACTGTCGTCGAAAAATCCTTTTCCGGCGTCAGTGGCCGCCGGGAAATCTCTCTCTGGCGCACCAAAAATGGTGAGACTAAAAAATGGAACGCACCAAAAATGGTGGCCTAGGAGATGCACACCGCCGGAACATCCTGGACGGCGGGGAGGACGAGACGTTTTGGAGGTTGTTTTAATTATTAATTATTAAAAAAATAAAATAATTATAAATCATGCAATTGCTACGTTTACTCTTTATTAAATTGAATTAATTGCAGCCGTTAGATTTTAATGAGTTTGAAGGGCTGAGATCGACTTAACCATGTGACTAAGAGATCTTATCTAGGGATGGCAATTTTGACCTGACCCGATTAACCTGATCTGTTTGGCTTATTTTGGGGCGGGTCAGACCCGCCCCGCAGGCGGGACGGGACGGGAATGGGTACCTCTCATCGACCCGACTTGCCCTGACCTACCCCATACTTGACCTGTTTTTGCCTACATTACATATAATCTTAGTCAAATTACTTAGAATTTTCCTCTTATTACATTATATTTTAGCTATAATAAAGTTTTAAATAAGTGAAAATCTCGATTTCTTCAATTATTTAACTATATTTTATTATATTATGGTTTCTTTCTTGGTTTTTTTTAATGAAAATAACGAATATTTCTAATGTTTTTGAGTTTTTCACATAAATTACATACCCATTGGGTCGACCTGCCCCGACCCGCGCCCCATAATAAATTACTCGACCAGAACCCGACCAACAATAAAACGAGTATGGCTATCGAGATACCCGCCCCGGAACTGCCCATTTGCCATTCCTCATCTTATCCCTCAAATAGCCTAATGGCTAACTAGCTTTCACCCTGCCCTTTGGGCAGGTAATCATATATTTTATAATAATTTTATAATTTTCCCTTATAAAAAATAATTTTACATTTTTCCCTTATAAAAAATAATTTTATAATTTTTTTTCTTGATTATAATTAAGGATTGTAAAACTGTGTTATAGGTTGTACCAACAAAGTCAACAATATGATATTTTATACTAAAATTATGACTTAACCGTGGTTCAACCATTTCATACTGTTAAATACCGCCCACCGATCTAGTATCTCTTATGAAGTTTTTCTAGTCGAACCATTGATACAGGTATATAACATAGTTTTTCTTTAGAACATTGTGAAGAAGATTCTAATCATTGATTCCATTGAATTTAGGAATGAAAGAATAACCTCTTCATAATCTATGAACATAGTTTAAAGAGCTTTTGTAATAATATTTTTGTTACGAAAAGTTCAAGTGGTTCATGCTTTTATAACTTTATACTACAAAACTGGTACAAACAATAATCAAAATTTTTAATTGTTTCTGATCAGTTAAAAAAGATCCGGAGAGGGGCTTTTAAAGAATGAGGGGATTCTTCCGAAAAAATGACATCTTCTTTTTGAACGTAAGAAATTAAACTCTTGAACTCCAAATGGGCAGATTTTTTAATATAAATATTCGAAACTAAAGGGAAAAGATAACCACCGTGCATAAAAAGAAAAAAAGAAGAAGAAGATAACCACCGTTCGTTAGGGAAAAAAGATAACCACCACAATCTAACGTGGATCAAGCAAAATGCAGGGGAGCTTACGTGGCCAAGGCCATTTCTCAAAATGCTTTAATATATTTTAAGATAAGAAAGATAGCATGAATTCATAATTTTGAAGATATCATGCCATCATGGTAGTATATTTGGAGAACTGATTTACACTCCGTGAGATAGACACAGAGCGCATGGAAGAAGAAAATGTGGGTCCCACGAGCCAGGTGGCATCCATGCGCTGACTGGACAGTGCACATTTCTTCGATAAAAACGTCAGGAGAAATCAGTCGCCATCGCCAAAATTAACATGGTACATGGACGCCGTCGAATTCGATGATGGATCCCCGACCCTCTTCCAGTTCCAATCCCCTCATCCACCGGCGGAGGCGGCCCCCGCCATGACGACGACGACGCCCACGAGGAGCGATTCCCTCGGGAAGCCCAAAACCCAGGGCAAGAGAAGCCACAAATCGGCCCCAAAACCGCCTCCGATCCTCCCAATCCTCTTCGCCGCCGCCACGACGGCGCAAGGTTTCGTTACCGGTAACGGCGCCCGAATGCTCCCTTCTCAGCTCGTCGATTTCCAGCGCCAACTCGATTCCCTATCCCTTCCCGTCCAGATTCCCTCATCTCTGCCCGACTAATCCATCTACGGCGGCGCCGATTTCAATTCCCGGTGGTTCCAGTACTTCCGAATGAGCAATTCGACGTTCCATAAGCTCCTCGAACTCCTCACCCCTTCATTTACATCCTGCCTCCCCCCGTCCGTACTTCCTGACGTGGCCCTCGCCGCCGCACTCTGCCGCCTCGCCCACGGTACGCCCTACGCCACCGTGGCCCGATGGTTCGGCCTCGATTCCCCGGAAGCCGCACGCCTCGCGTTCTTCGTCGTCGGCCAAGCCGTCTGCGAGAACATGTCGATGTTCGTCGAGTTCTGGAAGGAAGCAGAGCGGACTCAGATGGGATTCCTTGTTGGAGCTGAAGTTCAAACCAGGTTCAGGAAGAAGATTGGCGCCAAGCAGATTTGAATGAAGAAGTTAAAGTGTGTCGTTTTGGTTAAGCAACTGAAGTGTGTCGTTTTGGTTTATTATGTTCTAGTCCTTGAGTCTTATGTAGTTGTAGTTGAGTCCTGTCGAGATCAGTTGATCTTGCTTCCTTAGTTTCAGGTTTGAAGAAGTCAGTGCCTTGGATCAAGGCTTAGTGGGTTGCTTAGGGTAGTGGGCACCGAGTTAGAAGGCAAGAGAGTCTGTATATAAGTTACTTTGCAGTTTGAGAATAAAGTTTGTCAGTTTGCTTCGTATTTGATACAACATTGTGGTATCAGAGCTTGCCTGCAAACTGTAACCAAAGCAACAAAACCGTTTCTGAGAGTGAACAAGCAGAGAGGGAAGAGAGAAATTCATCTGCTATCTGGGTTGGGAAACACGAGAGAACTTGTGAGGGGTTTCTTTGGATTGTCAGGAACAATCATGAGTGAGAATAGCAGCTTTGCTCAAGTGTGTATTCCCAAGTTTGATGGGGATTATGAGCATTGGAGTCTGCTAATGGAGAACCTTTTGAGGTCCAAGGAATATTGGACAGTGGTGAATGATGGCTTCAAGGAGCCTGTAGCTGGAGAAGAGTTCACGCCAACTCAACTTAAAGCCTTGGAGGAGAATCGTCTGAAGGATTTAAAGGCAAAGAACTATCTGTTTAGTTCAATTGACAAGAGCATCCTGAAGACAATCACCAACAAGACTACAGCCAGGGATCTGTGGTTATCAATGAAGACCAAGTGCCAGGGAAGTGCAAGGGTGCAGAAATCACAACTGCAAGCACTCAGAAGGAATTTTGAGGTACTGGAAATGAAGGAAAGTGAATCAGTGAATGATTATTTTGGTAGAGTAATGGTAGTTACTAATGTCATGAGAAACTGTGGAGAGCAAATGACAGATGAAAAGATAGTTGAAAAAATTCTGAGAACTCTCACAGAAAGATTCAATTATATTGTTTGTTCAATTGAGGAATCTAAGGACATTGAGACCTTGTCTGTGGATGCTTTGCAAAGTTCACTGCTAGTTCATGAGCAGAAATTTACAAGACACTCTACAGAACAAGATCAGGCTCTAAAGGTTACTCATAATTTTGCTGGAAGAGGAGGTAGAGGTCAAGGAAGATATGGTTATCAAGGAAGAGGTAGAGGAAGAGGGGGCAGAACCTGGAATCGAGATATGGTAGAGTGTTTCAGATGCCATAAGATGGGACACTACAAGTATGAGTGTCCAGACTGGTATAATCAGCAGGCAAATTTCACATACTATGGCTCTGGACAATCTTCTCACCCTGATATGCAGGAGGATGTGTTGCTGATGGCTTTTACTGAAGAAGTGAAAACTGAACAAACAGAATCAACACACATGAAGCAAGGAGAGGATTGCCTGATGGCATTTCTGGAGATGCAGCAGCTGGAGAAAAATGAAGGGTGGTGGTTTCTAGACTCAGGTTGCAGCAACCACATGACTGGCAACAAACAATGGTTTCTGGAAATGGACTCAGCATTTAAAACAATGTGAAGCTAGGCAATGGAACCAAGCTGGAAGTTATGGGAAGAGGCAGTGTCAAATTGATGGTAGATCAGGTATCTCTGATCATACAGGATGTGTTTTATGTGCCTAGGCTAAGAACCAACCTACTCAGTGTAGGTCAGCTTCAAGAGAAGGGGCTGAATTTCTCATTCAAGGGAGGAAAATGTCAGATTTTCCATGAGCAGAAGGGCTTGACAAATATGAAGACAAACAGAATGTTTGTACTTCATGCTAATTTGAAAGATAAAGCTCAAGACATTCAGTGCCTGCAAGCCAGCACAAAGAAGGAAGCAAATATGAACTTGTGGCACAGAAGGTATGGTCATTTGCATACCAAGAGCTTGATGCAGCTGCAGACAAAGAATCTAGTGCAAGGGCTTCCTGAGATGACTGGTAATCTGGGGGTGTGTGGGACCTGCTTGATAGGCAAACAACACAGGAATAGCTTTCCAAAGAAAAGTACCTGGAGAGCAGATCAACCTCTTCAACTTGTTCATGCAGACCTGTGTGGTCCTATCACACCAGCATCAAATGGGGGCAAGAAATACATCCTTACTCTTACTGATGACTACAGCAGGAAGTCATGGGTTTATTTCTTAGTAGCCAAGTCTGAAGCTCTAGCATGGTTTAAAAAGTTCAAGGCTGAGATAGAAAAAGAAACTGGAAAATTCATCAAGTGTCTGAGGACTGATAGAGGAGGGGAATTTATGTGGCATGAGTTCAAAGAAGTTTGTGAGGAGGCTGGAATTAGAAGACAGCTCACAGCTGCTCTTACTCCTCAGCAGAATGGTATAGCTGAGAGAAAAAACAGAACTGCTATGAACATGGTGAGATGCTTGATGCAAGATACCAAAGTTCCTTCCACTTTCTGGCCTGAAGCTGTAGACTGGACAACACATGTTCTTAACAGGAGTCCAACATCAACAAACAATGGCAAGACACCACAGGAAGTCTGGACAGGTAAACCTCCTTCAGTACATCACTTCAGAATCTTTGGATGTGTGGGGTATGTGCATGTTCATGATCACCACAGGAAGAAATTGGATGATAAGAGCATGAAATGCAACTTTCTTGGCATTTCAAAAGAATCCAAAGCTTACAAATTATATAATCCAGTTTCTAAGAAGATACTGATAAGCAGGGATGTGGTTTTCAATGAAAAAAAGGGTGGATTTGGGAATCTGAGTCAGAACCAGTACTAACTAAGTTGATTTGGGATGGGAGTGATGATCCCTGGTATGATTCTGGGGAGGAAGATGATGGTGATGATTCAGGCTCAGAGCCTGCAGAACCTGCAGAATCTGGCACTCCTGGAAGCTCAACTGGTTCCTCTACACCAAATCCCTCAGAACCTGGTACTGAGGAGGATGATGAATCACCAACAGATGTCCTTGGCACACCACAGAATGGTGACCATGGCCTTGGAACTCGAGTTAGAAAACCTCCAGCTCATCTCTCTATTTATGAGTGCTCACTTGCTGAAACTGACTGGCTAGCAATGGTGGCACTCACAAATGATCCTCAAACTTTTGAGGATGCTGTTTTGGAAGAGAAATGGAGACAGGCCATGAAAGAAGAAATACAAGCCATCATAAAGAATCATACCTGGATTCTTACTGATCTGCCTGAAGGAATTACTCCAATTGGAGTTAAGTGGGTGTTCAGAACCAAGTTGAAAGAAGATGGTTCTGTGGACAAGTTCAAGGCAAGGCTAGTGGCTAAAGGGTATGCACAGAAGTATGGGATTGATTATACAGAGGTTTTTGCACCAGTGGCTAGGTGGGATACAATCAGAACCTTCCTAGCACTGGCTGCTCATCATGGTTTCACTGTATACCAGCTAGATGTGAAAAGTGCATTCCTGCATGGGGAGCTTACTGAGGAAGTCTACATTGAACAGCCACAAGGGTTTGAGGTAGCTGGGGAGGAAAAGAAGGTGTATAAGCTTAAGAAAGCTCTTTATGGCTTAAAGCAAGCCCCCAGGGCCTGGTACAGCAAGATAGAAGGCTATTTCCTGCAAGCTGGCTTTGAGAGATGTGACTATGAACCAACTTTGTTTGTTAAGAAAGTTGGATCTGATGTGCTGATGGTTAGTCTTTATGTTGATGATTTGATGTATGCAAGTAGCAGCTCAGCCATGATAGAATTTGAAATGACTGACCTTGGAAGAATGAAGTACTTCCTTGGGGTTGAAGTGACTCAGACTGAGTCTGGGATCTTCATTTGTCAACAGAAGTATGTAAAGGAAGTTCTCCAGAGATTCAAACTCTCTGAGTGCAATTTCACTCACAATCCTATGGTTCCTGGAACTAAACTCTCTAAGGCTGGTGATGGGATTGCTGTTGATGCATCTGAATACAAGCAACTTATTGGGAGCTTGTTGTATCCTACAGCAACCAGACCTGATATAATGTATTCAGTCTGCTTGCTTAGTAGGTACATGGAAGCCCCTACAAGGCAGCACATGCTTGCTGAAAAACGTGTTCTGAGATACTTAAAGGGAACTGCAACTTATGGAGTTTGGTACAGCAAGGTGAGTGAAGATGATAGTCTGATGGGATTCACTGATTCTGATTATGCTGGGGACATTGATGATAGAAAAAGCACAAGTGGATATGTGTTTTTCCTTGCAGGAGGAGCAGTCTCATGGGCATCAAAGAAGCAGCCGGTTGTAACTTTATCAACTACAGAGGCTGAGTATGTAGCTGCTTCTTACTGTGCAGCTCAATGTGTGTGGATGAGAAGGGTCATTGATCAAATGGGATGGAAGAGTTGTGTGCAGGAAGCTACCAAATTTTTTTGTGACAACAGTTCAACCATTAAATTGGCAAAGAATCCTGTGATGCATGGAAGGAGCAAACATATCGACGTTCGTTTCCATTTCTTGAGGGAATTGGCAAAAGATGAAGTGATTGAGATGGCCTACTGTGGAACTGCAGAACAGATAGCTGACATCTTGACAAAGCCACTCAAGTTGGAGGCATTTCAATTGCTTCGAAGCAGGCTTGGAGTTTGTGATGGAGCCGAGCTCGAGGCAAGGAAGTGAAGCGACATGAGGTGAACTGAAGATTGCAGAGAAGCTTCAGTTCAGGGGAGGACTTTGTTGGAGCTGAAGTTCAAACCAGGTTCAGGAAGAAGATTGGCGCCAAGCAGATTTGAATGAAAAAGTTAAAGTGTGTCGTTTTGGTTAAGCAACTGAAGTGTGTCGTTTTGGTTTATTATGTTCTAGTCCTTGAGTCTTATGTAGTTGCAGTTGAGTACTGTCGAGATCAGTTGATCTTGCTTCCTTAGTTTCAGGTTTGAAGAAGTCAGTGCCTTGGATCAAGGCTTAGTGGGTTGCTTAGGGTAGTGGGCACCGAGTTAGAAGGCAAGAGAGTCTGTATATAAGTTACTTTGCAGTTTGAGAATAAAGTTTGTCAGTTTGCTTCGTATTTGATACAACATTCCGGTGGGTGTTCCTCCCG